AAGCCGTCGGCTCTGTGGCTAAGTCGATGCGAACACTTCGCTTCGTAATGCCGGGATGCCAGGTTCGATCCCAGCTGCGGGCAATGCGCCTTGCGTTGGTTTCGATAGTGGTATCAAGAAAGCCGACCGTCCAGAAAGCAATGGCAAACTACTGGACGTAAATTTGCCTAGAGAAACCACACAACAGCCAGGGGCTGTTAGGGTTGGTTCTGCAACGTCCTCCAGAGGATACGCAACAACCTTTTTTTATCAAGAAAGCCGACCGTCCAGAAAGCATTGTCAAACTACTGGACGTAAATTTGCCTAGAAAAACAACACAACAGCCAGGGGCTGTTTCTAATTGGTTCTGCAACGTCCTGTGGGGGATCGGCAACAAATTTAGCGCCTATGTCCGCAAGGCACATACTGTTTTACATTCCCGTTCACTGTGCATTTAGTGCCCAAAAGTTCAGTATTGCCATTTCCACTCGTTCGGACATTAGCTAGGACCTTGACAGGCTGAAAGAGTGAAGCAGGCCAGTTGTTATTTACACACACATACAAAAAAATGCAATCCTTTTTTTTTTCTTCTTTAATTTATTCTTAAACTTTGAAAACAGGGGAGCATTATGTTTTCTTTTAATCGATTATTTGAAACGTGAGGTTCGCGGCTGGCTTTCGAAAAGAAACATAGGTCCCTCGGTTTTATCTAACTTGGGGACCCATTAGAACCTGTTCTGCTGTATGACAGCGAATCTTGAAAGGTCAGTGAACAAATTAAGAAGAATTTAGGAGCAACAGAGATGTAGTTTCTGAGACGAATGTTACGAATACCTTGGACGGCCAGAGTACCTAGCAACGATTGCTTGAAAGAGACTAATGAAAGTAGATCTCTATATACAATAATTAGAAAGTAACAAACACTGTTCTTTGGCCACATAATAAGAAGAGAGACATTGGAGAATATCGTGACAACTGGAAAGATCAGTGGGAAAAGTGGTAGAGGTAGACCAAGAGAGATTATGCTGGATGGACTGAAACGATGGCATGGAGGGATATCATCAAAAGAGCTGTTCCAGGCAACCAGGGATCGTGATCTGTGGAGATGCATGAGCGCCTACGCCAGTTGGCAGGGTACATGATGATGGTGGTGGATCCGTTGCTCTAGTACAGTGGCTCTCAAAATCTCTCTTGTCACGACCATTAAATACAGTTTCCTCATTTTGTGGCGACCCCTAGGCAATTATTTTACTTCGTAGCTTCAATGAATATGTGTTTTCCGGTGGTCTAAGGCGACCCCTCTAAAGGTGTCGTTCGACCCAAAAAGAAGGGCTGCGACCCACAGGTGGAGAACCCCTGCTCTAGTACAAGGGCTAGATGACCAATGCCTTGTTGTTTTAGCTGTGTATCTATTTAGACTGCACCGGATGTAAAAAACATGTACTTGTCATTCTCAGCAACATCACGTTTCCATGTACACAGTGCTGTACATAACAGTATGTCCCAATTGGTGTGACGTAGATTTATATAGGCAACAAAAACCAGTATTCGGATGTGTTTTGCTTCGCTTTTTTTTTTTCCGTCTCTCTGATACCAGGTTGTAGCCCAGTGTGGTGGTTTTGTCGTCTCACTGATACCAGGTTGTAGCTCAGTGACGTGGTTTTGTCGTCTCAATGATACCAGATTATAGCCCAGTGTGGTGGTTTTGTCGTCTCACTGATACCAGGTTGTAGCCAAGTGTCGTGGTTTTCTGTATTTGTCTTTGGCTTCTCGGGTGGCTTGGGTAAAGGATTTCTTTTTCTTTTTTTCAAGTTTTAACTAAGCCATTTATTCATGTCTTTGCTGGTCTTCCCCTCGCCTTCCTTCCCGATTTGCTGCTGTAAAAAAAGTCTCATTTACACTTTGGTCTGGCTGCATTTTTTTTTTTTTAATACAGCCGAGCCATTTCACTCTTTGTTTGTCAATATAATCCCGACATGGTCTTATTCCAGTTTTTTCTCTAATGCTGGTATTCGTAACCATGTCCGGTCATTCGAATGTGCACAAATTAAATTTATCCTAGTCTGACAAGACAAATGCAGTTTTCAAGACTGAGTCAAACAAAAATTACCAAAGAACACAACTGACGACTAAGGAATCAAGAACGGTTTCTATTTTGTATTTTACCTGTCCGTAAGCCAAGAAAAAGATCTGATCTTGAGTGAGCTTCAGTCCTGGTAGTGTCGCTTTCTCGCCGTTTTTACGGATCAGATCTTTGTAGGCCCTAAATGAATGATACACAGGGAGTTTGTTACATGAATTTCAACAGAGTCGACACGCAAGTTATTTGAACCTGTTGTGCAAGGGGTACCCGATCATCTATGGCTTCGAGCCTACACAGAATAAGTATATGGTTATAGGAAAACCAAGCTACCTTTGTACAGACAACAAAGCTGCTCTAAACAAACATGGCAATAACAAAACTTAGATAATTTATCTGGTCTTAGAATCATCATCATCATCATCATCATCATCATCAGGTGCCTTGTCGACTGGCGTGGGCCATCATGCCTCATCATAATGCACGATCTCCTGCAGCATGTATCAGTTCGTGTGCCGACACACCTCCATGCCATGCAACGAGACTGTAAAAGTTCGTGTGCCGACACACCTCCATGCCATGCAACGAGACTGTCAAGAATCTTCTCTCGTTGTCTTCCTCCACCCGTCCTTCCACAGATCTTTCCAGTATTCACAACATGTTCTATTTTCCCTCTTTCTTATGTCTGTGATAAGTTGTCTGCGGGCTCCCGCCTCTTTAAAAACCTCTTGGTTGATCTTTTTGGTAGTTCAAGGTATTCTAAGCATTCTTCTGTAAAACCACATCTTTGAGGCCTCAAGAAATTGTTTGGCCTGCCTACCGATTGTCCAGAATTCACAGCCATATGTTAAAACTGGATGTATATAGCAAGCAAGAATTCATTTTCTAACTCTCAATGACAAGGATATATTGCACAAGATGTTCTTCATTTTATAAAATGCAGTTTTTTGTCTGTCCTATTCTGTTTCTTATCTCAGTTATGCATCTTCCATCTGATGTTATCCATGTGCCCAGATACTTAAATTTCTGTACTTGTAACAAAATAACACTATCTACTTTTATTACACACTTAGGAATAATTCGCTTCTTTGATACCAACATTACTTCTGCCTTCCCATTATTCAAACTGAGGCCCATTCTTCCACTTTCTAACACCCCAATGTCTATCATTTCCTGTAGATCTTTCTGACTTGTTGCTATCAAGACTGTGATATCAGCATAACGTAAATTGTTTATATTGTGCCCACCAACCGCAATTCCGGGCAAATCATTCAAAGATCTTATGATATATTTATAAATATCTTTGTCTTTGAATACCCCGACGATTTCTTGGATTAATTGGAAATGTCACTCAAAAAAAAAAAAAAAAAAAAGAAATATGGTGTTTCAGAGATTGACAATATGACTATTTTAACTTCTTCTTCTTCTTTGTTCACTGGCTGTAAGCTCCGGCGGAAAGTCCAGGTTGTTCGTCCATTTGCACTTTGGCTTTGTGCCAGGGTCTGAATTTTGTGTGTTCAACCGCATCGCGCTAGTACTAAAAAAGGGGATATTTGAACATGAAAGGGAAGTAAATGCAACAGCAGAATAATGCATAAAAAATGTTACGTCAAGTACAGGGCCCTTTTCCCAGTATTTGGCGTATCTTCCATACATATTTCTTCCTAATTTATACTTCATCATACCGTTGGTCATTCCACGGATATTGTAATCAACATCACGCTGACGACCTGTAGTTCTCATGATCTTTTATGTGCCCATGTCAGGCTGGGTTAACCAGGGAGCAAAAAGTCATTTAAAAATAAAAATAATAATTCGCCACCTCGGTGCGGATTTAAACCCTAAACAAGGTATTGACTGGTCTTGTCTTGTCTTGTCTTGTCTTGTCCACAATTGCCTCACAGCGTAGTGGGGGGTCGCAGTTTTCTATCCTGGTCCAGGTGTGTTGCACGTGTTGTTGTTAGTCCGTGTTGCTTCAGGATCTCTGATATATTGTCTATCCATCGTACTCTCGGTCTGCCTCTTGCTCTAGGGCAGTAGTGCTTTTCGTTGTATGCTCGTAGAGGCAGTTGGTCGGTTTGCATTCGCATCAAGTGGCCAAACCACTCTATTTGTTGCTTCTTTGTGTATTGCAGGCATGGTGTGGTTCCTACAATTGCTCTAATGTTCTCGTTTCGAACTCTGTCTCTCCTTATTGATTGGTACACATAGAAATTTCTAAAAATTATAGGACACACTAGACAATCCAAACGCTCAAATGCTTCAGTGACCGTCCCGGGAATCGAACCTGTCACCTCCAAATTACGTATATGCCTCGCTATTGAAACACGTGTATTAAGATCCGTGTCAAACTAAGCACCCGTTCGAAGAATGTCTTTATTGGCCATGTCTTTCGTACAGCTTGAAATTCACAACTATGGAATCCGGACAGAATTCGTCTCAAACCATTGAAATTACCCCACAGGTTCCAGAAAATGACGACACTTTATATGGAATCCGGACAGAATTCGTCTCAAACCATTGAAATTACCCCACAGGTTCCAGAAAATGACGACACTTTATATGGAATGCGGACAGAATTCGTCTCAAACCATTGAAATTACCCCACAGGTTCCAGAAAATGACGACACTTTATATGGATCGAAACTGTGGAGCTATTTTTACTGCCATAACACTCACTCTTGATCAAACTTGAATTAATTGACACGGGAACATATCACACACAATGTCTATGTGAATTTGTTGCATGCAAAATGACACAGTGAATGTGACACACACGCAATGGCCTAGTGAGTATGATACAGATATAACCAAGTAGTCAGATAACCATAATTCCGATATCAAAGCAAACGGGTCATTATATTCTAGTGAATGTAATACACAAATTATGCCCTAGGGAATACGATACAAATCGTCTCAGTGAATGGATTATATTACATACCTAAAGCTTTCCTTGACTCCTCCATTATCTGCCACACTTTCTCCTTGAGTGTTGATTCCGTTCAGCTGTAACATAAGAGAAGCTTGGGTTTTACTTTTCTGCCTTCACGGCCGTGTACAATTGTGAATCTATACAACTGTGTGTAATAAATATCTATACTGGTGTTGGTGTGTATGTTAACTGTGTCTGCATGTGTGTGTGTGTGTGTGTGTGTGTGTGTGTGTGTGTGTGTGTGTGTGTGTGTGTGTGCTTGTTAACATTATCTTCTCCACTTTCTCTTATATTGCTTCTTGTGTACAAAAAATAAAAAAAGTTCTGTGTCCTGCTCTTCTAGTCAACTTAACCAAAGACACATCGTGGTGTTGAGTTTCTCTGACGTTATCAGTCCATTTTGTTATTTGTCTACTTTGTACTCTACAGCCTTCTCTTTCGTTGTATTTTTTGCATGTTATGGCGTCTCAAGGCATTTTAAGAGGCCAAGCCATTTGATTAACTAACTACCTTTGTATGTAATTTAGTAGTGGTTCTGTGTGGACTTTTTCTCAAATGAAAATGTTCCTGATCTTTTTTTATTCTCCTCCTCACACCTGCAGCTTTTCACAAACATCGCATTTACACTTTTACTAACTTTCTGTTTTTCATTTTTTTTTTTTTTTTTTAGCTAATCATGTTTGTCTTTGCTTATCATAGGATTTTATGAAGTGTCTCTTTGTTGATAGTGTACGCTTGTTAATATGTGTATTATTTTTAACGATTGTAGATACTATCTGTATGCGTACATTTGCTAACTTTTGCCGGGTTTATCAATGACCTGTTTATAAGTCAAGCACGAAACAGAAAACAGACACGGTTCGCTTTTTTGATTTATGTAAGGCTACAGAAACAAGAAATAGAAAACAGACTCGGTTCACCTACTTGATGCATGTAAGGCTACAGAAACAAGAAACAGAAAACAGACACGGTTCACCTATATTGATGCATGTAAGGCTACAGAAAAAAGAAACAGAAGACAGACTCGGTTTACCTATTTTATGCATGTAAGGCTAGAAGGATATTTTAAACTTCTTTAAACGTTCGTGACAGCCAATGGAGCCAATGTCACCACAGCCGACGGAACTAATGTCATCACAGCCGACGGAACTAATGTAATCACAGCCGATAGAATCAATGTCACCACAGCCTACGGAACTAATGTCATCACAGCCGATAGAATAATGTCACCACAGCCGATGGAACTATTGTCATCACAGACGATATAGTCAATGCCGCCACAGCCGACGGAACTAATGTCATCACAGCCGACGGAACTAATGTCATCACAGCCGACGGAACTAATGTCATCACAGCCGACGATACTAATGTCATCACAACCGACGGAACTAATGTCATCACAGCTGATAGAGTCAATGTTACCACAGCCGATGGAACTATTGTCATCACAGACGCTATAGTCAATGCCATCACAGCCCACGGAACTAATGTCATCACAGCCGATAGAGTCAATGTCACTACAGCCGAACCTGGCACAATTTGTTTTATGATAGCTTCTGGAGGCTGTGAGTGGCAGGGACTATAACTTTCGTCCATGTGATCAGAAGATAGAATTCTCATTGAGGCCATGTTAAAACTGACCTAGTTTCCTCACTTGGCCAGGAGCATCAGCAAAAAAGGTAAAATGGAAACTAGATGCTTGTTTAATTTTTTTTTTTTTTTTTTAATTATTATTATTATTATTGCAAGGATATGATTATTACGACTCTGCATTTCACATTTCAACTATCTTCATGGTTATTGAACTACATATGTTTTAAATATCGGCAGGGATTTTGGAAGCAGCTATTGTTTTAACGCAGATAGTTGTTTTGCTAGTTTTAGACAAGCACGTCAGCTCACCGTCATGTTGATTTCATCAACACGGAAGTTGGCGTTCTGATTCACGATACACTGGGTTCTCTTGACAAAGTTCTCGCGGTCTGTGGCCTGCCACCAGTTGCGAAGGTTGCCTTTTGCGTCATATTGGCTTCCTGTTGAAGGTGATGATCAAACACATTTACAGTCTATATCGATGAGACGACACACACACACACCCACACACATGCAAACACACACACACATATATATATATACATACACAACCCATTTTTTAACGAAAATCATATATATATATATGCGGTGTCTGTGGCTTAGGCGTTGCGAGTCCGACTCGTAATTCCAACGTACCGCGATCGAAACCCACTTCTGGCTGCGTAGATTTTTATCATGGTATATGGAGCGTCGCAGGTCGTCCCAGCCTTAAATGGGTACCAGTATGTGCTGTCCTAGGGAAGTAAAGACGGTCGGCGTAATGCTGACCACATTACCCACCCAGTGCCGATAGGTCTGTAAAAATATGGGAAGTTCTTCCCATATTCCCGATGCGCCTAAGGCGTGAAAAGGGATCTTTACTGTTTACTTTATATGTATAAATAGTGTCTTGTGTCTCTCCTGCCGAATGCTCTTAGACGTCACAGACACGGCTAATGATCGGTTTCCGGGCTAGTGTGTGTTTGTTACTTGCAGCATGGTCAGAGTGTTGAGTGTTAACAAATTGTTAACTCCATTCATCTATTTCCTCTTGTCTTTCTTATACCTCTTTAAGTTTCTTTTCTTAGGATGTATGCGCCTGCAGCCAGTTACAGTGTGTTCTATTTCAGTCTTTGTTTTTCAATAAACCTAATTACAGTTGTTGATCCCACCATTCTAATGATATCTATGCTCTGCATGCTACCATTAGGGTGATGATGTTGATGATGACGACGACAATGATGATGATGATGAGGACGATAATGATGATGATAATGATGATGATGATGACGATGATGATGATAATGATAACGACGATGGTGATAATGCGACGACGACCAAGATATTAATGATGAAGATGATGACGATGATGATGATGATGATGATGATGATGATGATGATGATGATGATGATGATGATGATGATGATGATGACGGTGATAATGTGACGACGACAAAGATATTAATGATGATAATGACAACGAGATAAAAACAAGTGGAGTCTAACCTACCTTGATCATCAAATCCATGGGTAATCTCGTGACCAATGACAACACCGATAGCGCCGTAGTTCATGGAGCTGGGGACAAGAGATCGCCACTGTTTAGTTCCAGAGATTCAAACATTCATAACTCTCTACCGAGAAGGGTTATCAGTTCCTGGAAGGGATACTTCATGATAGTGATGAGTTACAGCAGCTCTAGACAAAGGCACTGATAACAGAGACCAATTATACTTTTTGCTGTAATGTAAAACACAAAATTACAACACACAAAATGACATGTATAAAAATGCTGCAAGAAAACGAAGAAAGACAGAGGCACTAATGAATAACTGAGAACAGTTTACTGAGGAATATGTTGAGCTGGGAATCTGAATGCTTATGGATGTGTCCGGAGTGCTGCGAAGATAATCTAACTCATAACTCATGAGAACAGAATAGGCACAGTATCACTCAATGATTTTATTTAAAATCAAAGCATCAAATGATTTGGTCATCTATTGACAATATACCCAAACCAGCCGGCAGCTAGAGCGTGCTACGGCAGGCGACAAGTCAAGAGGCAGACCAAGAAAGAGATGGGGTGAGGAAGTAAAAGAAACACTACAGAAACGCTATATAACATTAACACAAGCTACACCAGTAGCAAATGACAGGAAACTAGATTCAAATCCTCTCTGCGACGTTTTGCGACATACGCAGTGGGTCACAAGAAAGAAGACATTGCTATAAGATTGTTTTTATACAATGATATGTTTTCTATCCGTCATTGCCCCGGGCAGAAAGAAAAGGGTGAAGGGGGCAGCAGACACCACCCCCATCAACCCACCCCACCCCCAACCCCGCCGCCATCCAACCCACCCCACGCCCAACCCCGCCGCCATCCAACCCACCCCTTTTCCCCGTAGTAGAGATGTATTCTAGAGTAACTCGCACAATAGGAAGCCAATCCGACAAACCGGCTGTAAAATAAACACATTACCAATAAATGTAGGAAATATACGTGTCACAGAAATCAAAGAAACGAGAAAGGCAAAGACATGCCCTAAGACGAGGCCAAAGATACTTCCTTGGATTCAATCCATGATATCGAAAGGAAAGCATAGGAAACAACGCAATGGAGAACAAAGATAGGCGCTATGGGTGACATATACGGTGAGGCATTTTGAACATGCCAAGTGACATGGTGGTCTAGAGAAGACCGTGTTGTCTTGTAAAGTTTCCGGAAAGCAAGACAGAGGACGACCACCACAGGGCATTGAATGTGCACTGGCTGTAAAAGCACATAGGGCTAGAGGGCTGGCTAAAGAAGGAGAGACTTTCACGTGTCTCGAGTAGAGATCAAAGTTCTGTGAACAGGGCAGGCTGATTGATAGACTGGCACTGAAGGGGCTAACTTCTAACAAGCAGGCAAACGTCTGAGTTTAGGCTACACTTCACACTCATGTAAAGTTTATGACCTAGTAATAAATCACAAAAGTACCATATGATCTTCTTCTTCTTCGACTTCACCAGTTTAAAACTCTGGTGGAAAGTTCTAGATCTTTGCCTATTTCTGGACTTTAGTCGTGTCAGAACTTGAGTTTTTTTGTGCTTGTCAGTTTTACAGATGTGGTTTACTTTTATATGGATTGTTGGTCCCTCGCCTCTCCGACAGATGCATTCCGACTTCAAAGAAAACACCTGATTTTTTTTTTTACTGCTTGCTGTGGGAGTCGATCCTTTTTTTTTTTCGTTCCCAAAATGCGATCCTGTGAGACCATAAATATAACCAGCAGGTTGAACGTGGTCGAATTTATTATTTCTGTTTCCTAGAATGGACAGTGGCCGTGGAAGGCAAATAGGGAAGAAGCCTTATTAAAATGAGACTTTCTACTTACTCTTGGAATGTCTGGGAGAAAAATGGCGACTGCAAGATGCCGGCTGGGAAAGCTGAAATAGTAGTAAGATGCAAGTATATTATCTCCGTGCTCGATCTTTTGGCTGTCTGCGTTGCTGTCTGCCTGCCTGTCTGTCTATATGTCTGTCTTTCTCTGTCTGTCGGTCTGTCAGTCTATCATTCATTTCGACCATCGAATAATCCTCATTGTCTGTCTGTTGATTTAGCTGCCAGACTGTCTCCGCCTAGTTCTCTATGCCATCTGCGGGCATGCAGTTTTGTGCAAAGTTTAACTTGGCAACGTGAATTACAAATACGTCCACGAGACGAGCCGTTGATTTCACCATATTGTGATATCCTGTTAAATCCCTTCACTACCATGGATAGAATCATGTCTGTCATCTTCGATCTCTCTCGAAAACGTACTTACTGTGTCTAGAAAGCCGCCGTATTGTAGTGGCTTGACCTGCGTATCTGAAGGTCGTTGGTTCAGGGAGTCGAAAATTAAAAAAAAAAAAAAAATTCTTTGGTTCCCAGATCGATCCAGCCTCAACTGGGTACAAGGTGAAGTTGTGGGAGATCAAGGCAGCCGGCGTGATGTTTACTATATCAACAACCGATTTGGTCTATAAAATATGGGTCTAGCACAGTATACCCAATGCGCCTGAAGTCGTGGAAAAGGATTGTTTACTTTACTCATCTTACTGTTTCTTTTTGATAATAGTGCCATAACTGCCAATTCACCACTTGACGGTGTAGGCAGGAGATTCGCTAGCCTCAGAATTCAACGTCGTGTGTAAGATCTTAGCACCTAACCGTTCGACCAGACGCATCTCATTGTATATTTATATATGCAATATGGTTTCCCATATTATGTCTTATGTTTAGAAAACAAACGTAAGCTAAATTTTAGGGCAAGTGATAAGTGAAATGAAGTGGTTTGGACACCTAACAAGAATGCCCTGGTACTATATGCCACAGCGAGCCACACTAAAACGTTACAACGGGTATAGAGCGAGTGGAAGACCTCGGAAAAGATGGAGTGATGGCATTAACAACAGCCTTACAGAAATAAACATCAGTCTTAATAGTGCTCTTGACAGAGCTCATCAACGAACATTACATCTCCCCACGACACTTCGATGAGGTACAAGATGGAAGAGAAGAAGAAGAAGATTTGAGATGGCCATAACAACGTAATGATCAAATAGTATTGACAATTGTGAGTTAAGCATTAGCAAGGAAATCAATGTTTAATGTTGAATTAAGAATCAACATCACAGCACTCAGTACACCCCCATAAGCGCCCTGTCCACCTCTTGAGCAGCAAGCGAAGAGTAAAAATTCCGATGGTACCAGAAACTAATTGTATACCCGTCTTGCCTTTCCCCTAAGTGTCAAGGGTTATCCAGATCCACTGGTGCTCCTCGCAGTGCCATTCTCCTCAGACCATAATGATTAATTTGTGCCTCGGCACTGTTCACTCATTCCTAAAGGGCCCTCACAACATCCAGCTTGTCATACATCAGTTCACCACCGAGTGGTGCAGAACTGGCCAGTCTATTTATCAAAGCCACAAAATTGGGAGAAGGCCTCCTACCTGTAGCAGCATAAGTATGTGAGTCAATGACTATCTCGAACATATTGGGGCCGAAAATATCCGTTTTGTGCGGTGGAATACTATAGAAATATTCTCAAAATACCATGGACCAAGAAGAAAAGAATTATTGAACGTCAACGAAGATCAGCTAGTAAACGGCTTGTCTCGGTCACTGACATATTTTGGCCATAAAGAGTGACTAGGAGGGTTGGAAAGTACAGTATTAGAAGACATGATACCAGAAAGTTGGTGCAGGGGTCGATCAGCACGTAGGTGGATACAGGATATAAGTAACACATCGAGTAGGAGAAGTGGCCGAAGAGCTGGCGAGAGACTGTCTTTCCGCCAGATCCTGATGAGAGCGACGTTCTGGACAGGACCTGCTACATGACCACGATGATGATGATTTGAGATGTACAGTTTTGTTTTAAACTGAAGATGCCTACCTATCTCGTTCACGCTCCGTGAATAATAGGCATTGACCTCGTACGGTGCCATCGACCACCTGTTTGGAAGATATTCTTGTGTCACAACAATCGCAGAATTCATGCATGTGTATGCGTGTATCTATGTCCAATAGAGTGCGTGTTATGTAAGTATGTGTGTCTATCATCACCATCATCATGTGCTGTCGTTATGCGACACCTAGGTCTCGCTGTCCATTCCTCTATTGCGTTCTATACTGCCTAATCCCTTTGATTTTATGGATGGAATCTTGCCCATCGTAACTACCGTACTTCTTCAACTTGTAGTTGTTGCATCTTCTGTTTGTGTATATGCGTGTGTGTGTGTGTGTGTGTGTATCTTTGCGTGTTTGCGTGTTACTGTTAAAACTAATCACGAAAAAGAAAGAATAAAATGGCTGACAGAAAAAAAGGACTTTTCCTCATCTTTGTCTTGGTCTACCGACTGCATTTTTGTTTTGTTGTTGTAGCTTGCAACAGCACAGGGAGTAAAATGTCAATCCTCAGCCAACTCATGCCAAACCCTATGCTGGTTGCTTCTTCATTTATGTTGGAGTGATAATTTTTATAATTTAGACCATCTTCTGGAAAATACATGGTATGATATGCATCGGAGAAACGGCGATGTGACTAGCTGGCAGATTTAGGAAAAGTCTGTCTGACTTGTTGTTCCTGGCTACAAAAGCGATAGCTACAGGATAAACACTGGAAAAGGAGACATCCTGAAGCCCATTTATGAACAGACACTAATAGGAGACACGAGATTAAATGAAATAACATTGTAAGAATGTGTGAACTAGGCGGATCAGACTATAAGGGACCTGTGCGAGAGAGAAAACGATGAGTTTTTTTATTATCAATATACTACTGGAACATTTAGCATCGACACCTGCAGACATGTGATGCGGAAGACGGAGCACCAGTGGGTCTGCTTGGTGTGCTATGATGTCGATTCTTAAATGTGTAGTTAGTAATCTTTCTGGTGTGCAGGGCGGTGTCTTCAAACAAGTTCTGATGCATTTCAGTTCTCAGGGTCACTAAGGTGTCACTGACATGGAGATTCGGTCAACAAGGCTAGCCACTCTAATGACAGATTCCGTAAGCCTCTTCCAGTATTCAAACGTGTCTCAGGGTTTCAAATGACTTGTTGATTTCTCTTGCTTGTAATTTCAATAATATTGTCTATTCATGTCATGTGTTGAAAAGACTTTCCAGCTGCAATGTTCACCTGTCGTTTGTGATTGTGATATAGTAAACAGATGTTAAAACAATCAAAAAGTGAAACCAGTCAGTTTTACATTGTCACCAACATTAATAACTATTGAACGTTACCTCTGCAGAGCCTTTGTCAGCACAATATATAAATAAAAAATACCACAAATAAGAACAAAAGTTTTTCTTTTTTTAATCACTTAGCTGACGTATTTCAGATAGAAATCACACTGCTGTTCGGCCAGTAGAGTATTAGATTGTTTGGTGTGATACCCTTTTAAGTCTCTTCATGTGCTAGGCTTATGAAAGGAATAATGTAAGCAAGACCAAGTAAGATATACGCCCAAGTCACCTCATGTGACATACATTCCAAAGTATTGTGTAACTATTGTGTGTCTCGCCTACACATCTGTGAATCAGTCCCTAGTTAGGTATTCAAATGAGAAGCAAATGTATTGAATAAACGAGGACGCCCAAGGCAAAGTTGATAAAAAGTGACCAAAGGGGCTGCTGGACTGCTTCTATTCATTATATCAAAAGGATAGTATAGGATAGAATGGACTGGAAGACTATAGTATGTGTCAACAGTCGTGCCCTCACACTTAAACAAATATCTCGAAAAAACATCCTGTACGGATCAACGGGAATTTTTGCATAAGGCCTTAGATTTTCATCGTCATTACGATTTTTTTTTTTTTTTTTACAGTTGCACTGCACATATGCTGCTTTTCACTGAAAGCGGCGGATATTTTTTAATCTTTTTTTTTTAAACGAATAATTTGTGTAGCCCTAAAAATATAATAGATAGTAATTGATACAGGCCTGGAGGTTAGAAATAATTTCATATGCGAAGCAATGCATATTTATTTTGATAGCCTTTCCAGCATACAATGACTAATTCTCATCTCACAGGAGACGAATGCTGGAGATGACCATCTGAGAGTGGCATGCCTATGACACACATGCAATTCGATGATCTTAAAAGTTTCGGTACTCAGTTATTTGTTAGTTAGTTAGTAAGTCGACAGATTATCCTCATTGCACGTCGAACTACTCAGTCATTAAGTGCTCGGATCCCCTCCTTACTAAATCCTGCTACGTGTAGCGGCTGACGACACCAGTTATTTGCTGGTTTATACTTCTTCTTTGGCTACCCGCGCAGCGTTCTTGATTGGCAACAGCCCGTTAATTTGTTACTTTCCCAGTAGCCTTACCGGCAAGTCTCTCGGCTTGCTTATTTCCTTGTATCCCCACATGTCCTGGCACGAAAATGAAACTAATCCTTGTAAGCCATGAACGCTGTAGAGCCACCAACCAATGTCTTCAGACCCAGCCCTTCTGTCTTCCTGAGCTTCAAAACAATTATTTGAAAGCACACTGATTGTTTGCTTTGAATCGGTGTCTGTTTTTTTCCTATACCGCAAAAAAGACCATAATATATATATTTTTGAATTTTAACACATCATCGCAAGGATGTGATTATAAATAGGTATGTGTCAAATTTCAAACGACACTTTCTTCAGACGTTAGAAGGAAAACAGTCACGACAGAAATGAAATGTTTGCGTTCTATGTATGCTATGTATAGCAAGAAAAGATCGAGTAAGAACGATGATATCGACAGGAGGGTCAGCACAGAACCAATACTGAACTTTATATGTGGACAATACATCAAATGGTTTGGCCATGTAACAAGATTGGCAGCAGATAGGGCACCACAGAGAGCGATGTTTTAAAGATACATAGGTAACAGTTTAGGGATCGACAATGCAGAATATGGACCGCAGAAAAATCAGAGACCCTAAAAAGTACGTGATACAAAGAAAACAGAAGGGCCCTTTCTAGAGACCTCTTTCTGCTCTGACGCTGCGAGGCATTCCAAGAATGGAGAAAAGACGAAAGAAGAGAAGACACCACACGGTAACTAGTTACAGATTTGTAAAGTTGGGCACACTTCTGGAATAGACTATAGATTGCTAGCACTATGTGAAATATAACGGCACAAAATGATCATAGTTTTGAGCATGAAGACGACGCCAATGGTGACGATGAAACTTAGAAATCACAGGTACTCACTCTTTCTTGTCCACAGGTTTCCTCAGGGACAAAATACTTTCAAGGTTAGACAGCTTGTTGTTGAGTACCCGGTTGTTGTAGTAATGGTCCTCACTCATCGTGTACTAGAGGTCGGCAGATCGATATGATTGACATATTGGCAGGAGGAACAAAAAGAAGCGCATGAAGTCAATAAAAATGTTATAAATTTTATAGTAGAAAACAACGGACTGTCTCTTTCTAGCCACATATTATATTACTTTGTATTATATTTCATTATTATTGTATATATTATATTATATTAATTATATTACTATATTGCATTATATTATATAATATTATAATATACTATATTACTACATTATAGTATATTGTTATATTATCAAATATTTATTATATTATATTACTTGTCATACCATAATGATTTATTACGAAGAACATGGAGCAAAGAAGGAGGAATGGGGAGAAAAAGAAGAAGAAGAAGAAGAAGAAGAAGAAGAAGAAGAAGAAGAAGAAGAAGAAGAAGAAGAAGAAGAAGAAGAAGAAGAAGAAGAAGAAGAAGAAGAAGAAGAAGAAGAAGAAGAAGAAGAAGAAGAAGAAGAAGAAGAAGAAGAAGAAGAAGAAGAAGAAGAAATAAAAGAAAAAGAAGAAGAAGAAGAAGAGAAGGAAGAAAAAGAAGAAGAAGAAGAAGAAGAAGAAGAAGAAGAAGAAGAAGAAGAAGAAGAAGAAGAAGAAGAAGAAGAACAAGAACAAGAACAAGAACAAGAAGAACAAGAAGAACAAGAGGAAGAAGAATATGAAGAAGACGAAAAAGGAGGAAGAGGAGAGTGGTGAGTGAAGATGAAGAGAATTCTGACGATGATTTTGCTGGTGGTCATAAAGATAGTAATTATAATAGTAGTAGTGGTGGTGGTGATAATGATAATGTTATTGATGAAGATATTTATACATTAATTAGGACGAAGCACTCTTGGAACTCATTCTCCAGACAGATAACGAAGATTAGCTTTTTTAAATAACCACAAAAACAGAAAGAGAAAGGGGGGGGAGAGAGAGAGAGAGAGAGAGAGAGAGAGAGAGAGAGAGAGAGAGAGAGAGAGAGAGAGAGAGAGAGAGAGAGAGAGAATGTGGGACTTCAAAAAATGATGTGTCTCTTCTATAATTGTCTTTAGACGATTTAATTTCTATAAAAAATTTTAAAAATAAACATCATTTACGTTTTCATAAAATTTGTCAATGTCATCCTCCGTGAAATCTGTGTCGGGGTATCCGATCTTCTTATTTATAGCCGCTAGCTGAAAATGGAAAACATGACAAACGTGAACCGCTAATTCTGAACATTAAAAAGTCAGCCTTATATACCAAATGACTCCGTTATTAAGACATCTGAACATAGTATCACCGGTAAGGAAAAAAAATTATAAACAGCATATTCGTCTTAATACTGTGCTATCAGTGCCAGACTTGAACATTTTCAAAGGGTAACCTAAATAGAATTCACACCCGTTAAAAAAGATACCAGAGGAAGGCCACTAACTTAACGATTCGATTCAAAGTCAGAAATAATACTATCAGACACACTTTAGGAATAACACCATGAATCAATTTCATTGAGAAACAGAAAATAAAATGGTCAGGTTGTCTCATTAGAATGCAGCAACAACATCTACTAGCTCAGATGCTGAACGTAGAAAGATTTGACGTGAAAGCAAGAGCCCGCTATAGGAGAAGACGCAATGGTAACATTAAAGACCTTCTATCGTGACAGGGAACGGCCAGAGCCATTGAGCACCATCAAGCAACGAACTGCAAACTGTTTATCTCCACGCTGTTTGACGGCAAAAGTGAAAGTTGGTGATGACGAGAAATAACAGTAGTGTAACAGAGTACCCCGTATTTAGGCCTGGTTAGGCCAGTGTATTTTAACGCACAATCATTGACGAACAATAGTATGTGGCTTATACTCGGAATATTAGGCCTGCATGTCACGTGTACACAATTTATTCGTAAATATATGCCATTCTAAAATAATTCTTTTGAAAACAATACTGGTAACTGACGACATTAATATCCGCCGCTGAATCAAGAGCTTATTTCGTGTCATGAAGCCTCTTGCCCATCATCATCATCATGTGCCCTGCAATCTGGCGTTGGCGCTCATGCGTCTCCACAGATCACGATCCCTGGTTGCCTGGAACAGCTCTCTTGATGATATCCCTCCTAGCCCTCGTTTCACCCATCCAACATAATCTCTCTTTGTCTGCCTCTACCCCCTTTTCCACTGATCTTTCCAGTTGTCACGACGTTCTCCAATGTCTCTTTTCTCATTATGTGGTCAAAGAACAGTGTATGTCTCTTTCTTATTGGTGTATATGGAGATCTACTTTCATTAGCTTTCTTAAGCAATCGTTGTTAGTTACTCTGGCTGTCCATGGTATTCGTAACAGTTGTCGGAGAAACCACATCTCTGTTGCTTCCACATTATTCCTAATTTGTTCACTGGCATTCTAAGATTTGCTGCCATAGAGCAAAACAGGTTCTATGTAACATTTTAGCACAGCAGAACAGGTTCTATGTAACATTTTAGCACAGCAGAACAGGTTCTATGTAACATTTTAGCACAGCAGAACAGGTTCTATGTAACATTTTAGCACCCACTTTCTGACCCCCAACCATAACTGGTTTTAAATTCACTCTGAAGAATTCTCATGACGTCTGATAATTGACACGCTTCAAACTGTAACATTTTCACAGATAAAGAAAACCCATCTGTTCGTACTTTCTTGAAATATTCCAGCAGACTGATTTTTTTTTCTTTCGCGTATTTTACCTTCCACTTGATTTTGAAAAGTTTCTTCAAGACATTTTCCTTTCCTATCCGTTTTCACATATTTTTTTCTCATCCACATGGAACTTCCTCCCAGCTGCTCGGATTTTATTTTCTTGCGCAGAACGCACCATTTGTAACTTACATTTATAACGTAACTTATTTTTACATGGTCCATCATTCACCGTTTACAGGCCCTACTGTGTCAGCTTTTGGCATCTTGAATAATTCTAAGACAATTAATTGTTCCCCCTACAATTATCTTCTTAGAAACGAGGTGAGACATTTTCACACAATAAATACGGTATCTGCATTGGGTACCACACAGTCTCACACAAGTCCCAGAAATAACATAGTATTTCACCAGTTTCATCAAGATATGCCACTAATACATTTCTTTAAAATATTTCGTCAAGATGTTTCGTCAAGATATTTCGTCAAGATGTTTCGTCAATATATTTTGTCAAGATATTTCGTCAAGATACTTTGTCGAGACATATTTTTCAAAATTGTTCATGAAAATATTTCAAGATATTTCTTCAAAATATTTCAATATATATAATTCATCAAAATATTCAGGTATTTCATCGAGATATTTCATAAAACCTTTAATCTAGATGTTTTTATCATTATATTTCTTTAACTTTTGAACGTTCTGTCACACCGAAAACAACTATGGCATTTGAGGGGCCGTCTTCATAACGAAAATGTGTATTTTAAGCTAAGCATCCCTTAAAAGTGTGAGTTGGTCTTGAGTATAATCAACAGATCAGAGTGGCTTCGTCAGAAAAAGGAACTAAATGAGTGGCTACATCTTTTTCGGGTGGGATCATCAAGGGACCTGAGACTTGTTTCAGTGAATAATAATAATAATAATTTAAGTGGTAAATTAGTATACTAACAAAATGAAAAATAATATGAAATGTATAAATAAATATGCAGAAATGAGAATGTCTATACATGATGTGGGGTGGAAGGGGGAGGGCTTGGCCATTTTACACATTTTTCTGCAGAGTTGAGACAACCCTAATTTTTCTTTTCTAGGGGCAAAGTGGAGGGGGGGGGGTGAGATGATGAGGGCTCACAGCGTCTGAACCGCGGTTCAGGTGGACTATTCATCGTGTGTTGCAATCATTGCACCATGCTGTGTTGCAATCATTGCACCATGCTGTGTTGCAATCATTGCACCATGCTGTGTTGCAATCATTGCACCATGCTGTGCTGCAATCATCGCACCATGCTGTGTTGACTAATGCATCGTGTCTGTGTGGACTATTCGTCTCGTTAACAATCATTGCACCTTGTATGTTGAATATTCTTCTCTTGTTGCAATCACTGCACTGTGTGTCTTGATTTTATATCTTGTGAAATAATCAGTGAACCATGTCTGACTTCTGTAGCAAACACCATGTAATACTGACTGATTATCGGTGTATATATCAATAAACGTGTTATATGCAGGTAGAAATTCGTTCCGTTTACAATGTTGTGAGTGATGGATTATTCTTCCCGTTTCCCAACAACTGTGACATGGATTAGGGATTTTTCGTCCCCTTTCCCAATAACAGTGACACAGTTGAGGGACAACTCTTCCTGTTTCCCAATAACACTGACACATACTAGAGATTATCCATCCATGTTACCAATCACAATGACGGGGATAAGGGGTTATTCTTTGAGTATATCAAACAATGTGTAACATTTGATTAACTCTCCCAGTCATCACACATTAAACTCCTAGCCCTGCATCTGCGACAAAATACAAGAAACGTGACTGTAATCACTAAAGTAGCTGCCATTTGTTTTTCCTAAGAGTTAATTTGTGATTTGAGCTCGACCACACAAACCTTTAAATAAGCTTCCTTTTTGGTGTCCTGGCTCATCCAAGTGTTTTCTTCAATCATCTTCTGAAACTCAGACTTCAGATTCTCAATCATCCCTTCCATCTGCAATAACATAGAAAATAACTGGTCACATAACTACGAAGTAGACACCCTCCTGTTAACTAGGAAGGATATTATCATCTTTCACTAAATGTTAACCCCTAGCAATACCAACAACGCCTAGTATACGACGATAGTAAGAGCTCTCTCTCTCTCTCTCTCTCTCTCTCTCTCTCTCTCTCTCTCTCTCTCTCTCTCTCTCTCTCTCTCTCTCTCTCTCTTGCCCATATTGTGTGAGGTTCAATGGTTCATTTTGTTAATTGACTGAATGTCCACATGAAGTTATAACATCCAGTGTACCTTTAGGGGTCCCACTGTTGGGAATTCGGCGGGGGGAGGGGAAAAAGGAGGAAGGGGGTATAGACCTACTGCCCTTCTTGCAAAATATCGTACAAATTGATTAATTAAAAGTGTTTCTATTTTGGAAATCACTGCGGGCAAACTGGTGTACTAGAGATGCTAAAAGTATCAGCTGCTGCGTCAAGTGTACAAACTTGATGCTCCTTGAGTTACCAACTGCTCGTAGACAGACTATCCTGCTATACTTGCTGAGCTGTTGTCTGTTCAGAGAAAATACCACCAGAAGTGCACCTGATCTGCTCTGTGTCTGGAAGAATATGGACCTCTTGGGATAGACGGCTCAGTTTTTAAACTACTAGGATTGGATTAGATTGGCACCTTTCCGTCTTTCCAGACAGTAGTGTTATATTGCGCTGTAAGGAGGGGTGAGACTCACTGCCCATGGCGATGGCGAGTGTGACTAGCAAGACCCGCCCGTGTCAAGGAAAGTCTTCTACAATGAAAGAATGGGATTTCAGGACCATTGTTGTCAACATTTCTGTTTAATCCGTTTTTTTTTCAGACGCTTAGCTCTCATACTTTCTGAAATCATTACTTCCTTCACTTTCATTCCCTTCCTGATTTGCCCTTTCCACACAACACGGTCTGTGGCATTTTGTTCCCATGAGTCCACCTCAATACCTGTATCATTCATGTCCCGCTTGCACACATCTTTATATCGTAGTACAGATAATCGTCGATATCTTCTACCTGCCTTTAATTTACCATAAAGGATGTCCATAGGAACTCTGCCATCCTCCATTCTCCAGGTGTGACCCAACCACCTGAGCCTTCGTAGACTGAACAGGGAAAGGACTGTTTTAATACCGGCTCTTTCCAGTATCTCTTGTTTTTTTTTTTTTTTTTTTTTGTGTCTGCCTTTTAATGCCAATAATTCTTCTAAGGCATCGCATGTGCAAGCTATTTAGCCGTCTCTCCTGCTAATAGGTTGACCAGTAGGACAGTCTATGTATATCTTTATTTTTTCCGTCCCTGATTGCGTATTGGGCTGATCTATCAGTACACACTCTAATTTAGTACTGGTGTGGGTAAAGTGTTGATTTCTCACTCGGACAGTCTATGTAAATCCATTTGTTTTCGTCCCTGATTGCGCATTAGGCTGATCCATCAGTATACACTTTAATCTAGTTCTGGTGTGGGTAAAGGCTTGATTTCTTCTTCTGTAATGGACCTCATATCAGTGCTCTTCATATTTGATTTGGAGTAGATCCCTATTACAGCAGTTCTGAATGTTTGCAAGTTATCCCTACGCAAACGGGTGCAGCTGTTAGGTTTGAATAGGATTTCTGATACTATGGGAGGGATTTTTGATCCGCCAGATTGGCATTTTGAGTTCCTAATGAAACATGTTCTTTCAATCTACCCCTCTGGAGTTTTGCAGTCGACTGTTTATGGGCTGCTCTTTCCACTAGTGTTACTTGGAGAGCTGTTTAAGGGGCATTAACTCCTGTGTTCCGGAGCATGAAGACCAGTAATTGTTTCCATGTCTGATATGGGTGTCGAGCGCATAGCCACTGTCGTTAGCTCATATAACAAATAACAAGACATAACATAGACTGGTGAAAACACGGGTGATTGCAGTTACGCTAAACCCAAGGAATGAATCCACGACCTGAGACCAAGCAGCCTAATTAATGGGAAATGGTAACAACGTACACGTACAAGACAAAAAGACATTTCGACCAGGGCTTTTCTGGATATCTTTTTTTGGAACTGACATCGGGAAAGACACTGGCCAAAACTTCTTTTTATCTTTTACCTTCCCTCTTTTGTTAAGCTTCTTACCCACAGTTCAATGGATTCATAACATAACATAGCATACCACAGAAACTGTGCAATTTAAATACAGGCTGAGATATACAACAAATCCTGCGTTGTATATGTGTCAACACTTTCGTAGCTGTTAATTTGCTCGTGCCAAGACAACGTACATATTTACTACATACTACATTTAATAGTATAATCAGCAACGACAGTAATCACTAGAAATCTGGAACATTTTGCCACCCCTCTCATAAATCACATATCTGAAGTACGCGGCAAAGTAGACGGTAGTGGACAGAGAGACTTAGAGTGCTGGATATAAATTACGTAGGTATGAAAATGTCAGCAGTTGATGTTTCCATACACATGAGCTTGAAATATGATTTCAGCCAGCATTACAATTCATGCAGTGTTTAATTAATGCACACATACACTGCTGTATGTCGTACAGGTCTACGCCGGTGCTCTACCGCTTATTAAGTCAGGGGGACTGAAACAAGGGAGATTTTGCCCTTCTTACACATTTTCTTGGGCGCGAGAGTGGGGGTCGATGGGTCTAGACCTTGTTTGAGTGCGCAATAATAATTATACAAATAATGCAGTAAACCTGTGTGGCGGACCGCCATATATTGCTAGACATACTTTTGTAGAACAACGTGCACTCGACGGGCCATGTAGTCAACACTACACTAGCCGTGTTTACTTTCTCGGACATTACCTGGAATCTATTTTTAGGGTTAGCGATTTGAAAGTCAAGGTAAGCTTGAAACATGAATTTGTCCTATTAGGGATTGGAACCCCAGACGTTGGGACAGGCACATGAAGGTCTAGCCACTCGGTTACTATGTCTTCCTTTATAATGCGCAGCATGAAAAAAAAGGTAATATAATAACATATCTGAAATAATATGGAAAGTTTAAAGAAAAACTTAGAAAAGTAATGGTTATACATTGCTGAAGTTTGCTGGCAGGAGGGGGAAGACGGGCTGTGGAGGAAGTTTCCAAACGGGTGCATCAAACTTATTGTGCCTGACCTCGTAGTTAACAGTCTGCCACAGAGGCCAGACGGTTTTGAACCTGTCTACTCACGCATACCCCTGTTGGACTGACAGACATGCCTGAACTTACTGGACCTTCATTCACTTGTGAAATTCTCTAGGTTTTACCAAATCACTGACTTAAACAACAAAACAACAACAGACTGATGACAGAATGCTGCTCATCTATGATTCATGTCGAAAGGGGACTGTCATCTGTAAACTGTCATTATTACGCCAACGAGGTCGTCTGCACCGTGATGTCACGTGCTTGTCACTCTTGACAAGCTTAACGACATTATTGACAGGTTTGAAGACAATGGCATTGTTGCTGGGATTTATATCACACTTTTACAGTTTTCATTTGACGCCCTACGGTAATTACATTAAACGCTTTTCGTCTTTATGGAAAACCAATGGGTGCTTTTGAAATACAACTAGAATGAAAGGGATAGTGCACTTCAACACAAACACTGATAGAACATTGTTCAACACAATGTTGTTTAAAGCAAGGTGTTGCTAGTGTTAAAAAAACACAATGTCTTCAAAAGACATGATAACCATAGTCACGACATAAATTAAATGTTTACGTACTATGCTTAGTGTAAAAAGCAAAGATCGACTATCCCTATGTGGCTAAGGCGTTGCGAGGGTACTTTGTAATGCCGGGTGCCGAGTTCGATCTCAGCAGCGGACGGTGTGCCTTGCGTTGGTTTCGACTATGGTACAGAGGGCTGATCGTTCTGATAGCAATGACAAACTACTAAATGTAAAATGTGCTTAGAGAAACCAAAACATTCTGGGGTTGGTTCTGCAACGTCCTGTAAAGGATACGAAACTAACTAACTAAGCTATGTAAAAAGGAAAGATCGACTTAGGAACGATAATATCAGGAGGAGAGTTGGCATAGAATCATTAGTAAACTTTGTAGACAAAGATCAAATGGTTTGGCCATGTGTAACAAGACTGGCGACAACCAGGGCACCATAGAGGGTAATATTATACAGATACAACGGTAGCTGACACAGAGGTCGACCACGCAGACGATGGACCTCGAAACTAAATAGACTCTGAAAAATACTACAGACAGGCAAACAGAAGGACCCGCTTCATGTATCTCTTCATTCCCTGACGCTGCAAGGCAACCCATGAGTCGACAAAGGAAAGGGAGAGGAAGAAGCATTTGAAATTAGAGCAATGGTGCGAACTGGATAACATTGAACACCTTGGTTATCCATAGTGACTACAGACTGAATTATAAATACAAGAACGGCTACTAGAAAAGGAATTCAGAGTAGCCACGACATAGGATTTAGTGATCTGGCCTTAGCTGAGAATATCACCCTTCTGTTACGCCCACACAATCACGCAGTATAAAGGAAACACTCTTGAGAACTTCCGCCGGGGTTTAAAGCCGGTGATCGCGAAGAAGAAGAAGATATGTTAATTTTTAAAAGGCAGTTACTATTGTCAGTAATATTATTTGAATTTAAAATGGCTAGAATATATTTCAAACAGCTTTGAGTTGACGAAAGCACATAAAACAAATGCATTTCGGAAACAGTTAAACAGCCAAACAAGAAGAAAACTTACATATAGTTTGGCTGCCTGGGAGAAAGTCTTGTCCACGTACCGCCTGCCCATCCCTTTCCAGAAGACGCTGGCTGAACTATCCAGACAAACTTCCCATCGCGGGCTCTCAGCCATGTTTCCTGTGTATTTCTGCGGATGTGGATATAATTATTTAAAGTAGTAACAACTTGCCTAGTATCTTCTTCTTCCTCTCCTCCACCTTGTACCTCATCGAAGTGTCGGGGGAGGGGGGGGGGGGGTTGGGGGGAGATGTAATGTTCGTTGATGAGCTCTGTCAAGATCATTGTTAAGACGGATGTTCATTTCTGTAAGGTTGTTCATAATGCCATCACTTCATATTTTCCGAGGTCTTCCACTCGCTCTATACCCGTTGTAACGTTTTAGTGTGGCTCGCTGTGGCAGATAGTACCAGGGCATTTGTGTTAGGTGTCCAAACCACTTCATTTGTTGTTCTTTGATGACCTGCAAGACTGGCTTTATTCCTATCATTCGTCTGATTTCATGATTATATATTATATCTTTCCTTGAAACTCCTGCAGCTCTTCTAAGGCCTTTCATCTAAGGGCGTGTAAAGGGATCTTTACTTTACTTTTTTTTAATGCTGATAACAATAATTTTTGTTTGTTCGTTTTCTGTTCACACCTTTGCATCTTGAAATGCTCCGTATCCCTGTCTATACTGATGGACATTTGGGTGCAGCCTGGAGCTGCAAGAAATGAACATTTCACTAAGGGGACCAGACGTTTCATTAACCAACACAAAGCAGGCGTCATCAGTCGTTTTACACTTTTGGAGCTTTTGAGGAGGAGATCGGAGCACCTATGGATCTGTCCGGAGTGCTGTGATGTTTCTAATCACTATTCACAAATCACCTTTTCGTCTTTCTAGGCATTATTGTCATGTTATGCTAGAGGGGGATATTGTGAACTACATCCCATGGCGTTGGTGAGTGAGACCAGCGAAACCAGCTCGCGTTAAGTGCTCTTCAACAATTAGAGCAGCCGATTTCACCATCACTGTTGCTATCACATAAATTTCACTGACCCCATATCACTCTCAGCTCTCAGTCTATCTGCACTCAGTTTCTTGGTATTCCTACACCCTTCTTGCGTTTCCCTCCAGCTCTTTCATGCTACACGGTCCATGGTTTCATACTTTCAAAACACGAATCCACCTCAATACCTGTATTATAGATCTCCCACTTGCACACATCTTTATACTGTAGTGGAAACTGACTTCACCATCCTGCAATAATCTAGTTAGTTAGTTAGTTAGTTAGTTAGTTAGTTGGGTTATGATCATTGCACTCCGGACATGTCCATAGGTGCCTGCAATAATCTGTTCTTTTTCTTCATCTTCTTCTTCTTCTTCTTCTTCTTCTTCTTCTTCTTCTTCTTCTTCTTCTTCTTCTTCTTCTTCTTCTTCTTCTTCTTCTTCTTCTTTTTCTTCTTCTTCTTCTTCTTCGTCTTCTCTTTTCTTTTTCTTCTTCTTCTTCTTCTTCTTCCTTCTTCTTCTTTCTTCTTCTTTTCTCTTCTTCTTCTTCCTCTTCTTTTCTTCTTCTCTAGTAATGAGAATTATCACGAGAAACAATAGGTGGCAAAATTAAACAGAAATTTGTGAATTATTATTATTTTCTTCTTCTTTCGTTTGTTGTTCTTTGTTCTTCTTCTTCGTCTTTTTTTTCTGCTTCTTTGTGTCTTCTTTTTTCTTCTTCTTCTTCTTCTTATTTATTTGTGTCTTCTTTGTCTTCGTCTTTTTCGTCTTCTTCTTCTCCATAATTAGTTTTGTTTTTTTTGTCTTTGTCTTTTTCTTAATTTTTTGGTTTTTATTTTCGTGGGTTTTGTGCTTGATAAGGAGCAGTGGATCTATTTTAGACCCCAATTCCTCTGTGGTCAGGAAACCTACACGGAAAAGGACGAATACCTAAATACAGATATATTACCCCTATTAAGATATAACAATCGCATTTTTTTGCTCACTATTTCAGAAAGAAAAAGAAAGGGAGGCTACCACATTATCCACTCTAAGGAACATATTTACGAGTTTGCTGACTCAAACTGAGGCATAAACATTTACCGCAAACATCTGGTGCAATAGAATGTGGAGAACTTCGAACAATTCGTTCAATGAGTCAGGTAATTAAAATAGTAATGAGAATTATCACGAGAACAATAGGGTGCAAAATTAAACCAGAAATTTGAGAAGAGAAGTGTTGTTTTGTTCAAGGTAAACGCACAAGCAACGCCATATTTTTCTTTAAAATACTTTCACAAAAGAAAGATTGCCATGAACAGAGATATGTATTTGTGCTTTATTGATTACACTAAAGCATTTGATAAAGTTAAACCTGAAGAAATTAATAGAATTTTGGAAAGCTAAAACATTGATGCTAGATTTCTTAGAATAATTTTAAAAAAAAAAAAAACATAAGCAGCAATAAGGATTGACGACCAAGTTAAAACTTTTCATAACACTAAACAAGGCATTAGACAGGGACGTGTGTTATCACCTGATGTATTCAATAGTTACAGTGAAATAACAATTAGATCTATACATGATATACCAGGAATAGCGGTTGATGGGCACATTGTTAAGAACATGTGATATGCTGACGATATAGTTTTGATATCTGAAAATGAGACAAAACTGCAAGAAATTATGGATATAATTGTAACGGAAAGTGAAAACAAGGGTCTTAGTTTGAACAGAAGTATTACAAAGAAAATTGACCCAACAAAATGCAAGATCAAATTAAATAGGACACACCTCACGCAAGTTGTTATGTGCATGAGTACCCGGATAACGTAAGATGGAAGATGTATAATAGAAGTTAAATATCGAATAGCTCAAGCAAAGGCAGATTTTACCTAATGAAAAATATTTTATGCAATCTTTCTTTGCCAGTTGAGATGAGAAAGAGAACTGTTAAATGCTATATAAACCTTATATTGAGATACGGAAGTAAATCATGGACAGTTATGAAATTAGTGAAAACTTATTTGAAAGCTGCGCAGGTGTGGTTTGATAGACGGATGGTGAGAATACACTGGTCAGATAAAAAGAGTAATGAAGACATCTTGAAAGAAACCGACTCATGAAGAGAACTGATTGCCCACATCAGAAAGAACAAATTGACATTCTTTGGTCATGTGATCAGAAGGAGAAAACTGAAGTACATCGTGACTGTTGGAACGTTGGAGGGGAGGAGAGGCAGAGGTAGACTGACAGAACAGATGCTGGACAGTGTGACACCATGTCATGAAGGATCATCTGTGTCAGAGGTAAATCAATCTACTCGAGACAGAAGGTTGTAGAGAGACATGACTACCAACGCCACATGACGTGGACTTTGAGAAAAACTGAGGCATCGGATTTGAGTGTGGCGTCCCCTCAAGTCCCAGCTAGATTGTTCAACTACGCCTCCAGGCAACAGGATAATACGAGAAGTGGGAAACGGGCTATGCTGATGACCCCTTGGGAAAAGACAGGATAACAGGGACGACTGCGGCGTTCTGGGAAGAAAAGTGTGACAAGAGAGACAACTGAGAAGATCTGGAGAAAAAGTGGGACAACCGGAAAAAAAAATTTGAAACGTCTGGGGGGAAAAAATGGAACAGGGACGGACTTAGTGTTAGGGAAGGACGCCGGCAAAGGGAGAACACGCTGGAAGAGACGACAGCATGAGAGTCAACGGCCCTGCCTATTAGGAGCATAGAAGACGGTTGTTTTATGAAAACATGATCGCCTGTCATGCTAGGTGTGACATATAATGAGGACGATTATGCTTCAGACTTCAGGTTAAGGACATTATTAAATCATTTTCCCCCGCGTGCTAAGTTAACGGGGAGAATGGAACTGCAACACTTCGTTCCCCAGTGTAAGAAGACTGACGTCCATCCCATGAACAGTCTAAACTCACCACCCTCTTCTCGTGCTTTTATACGTCACAGACCTCATAGTAGATTCCTCCATTCCGTTCTATCATGTGCAGCTACTTTAATATCAGGGCTGGAAGAATCGTTGACCTTCCTTTATATCCACGTTCATCCTAGGTTGTGGACCACCTGGCTTTCCCAATACATGCGTTTGGTATTTAAGTATTTGGTGATTCTCTGTTCGTTGCTTCTTTTGATGCACCAGTTACATTACCACGACGGGCTCCATCTGACGAGCCATGCTGGTGACGTCACAGGGTCGGGCTAACGATGCGTTAACGCAGCGGTTCTCAAACAAGAAATAAACTATTTTCGACAGTGGCGAGGAAAGACAAATTACATTTTAACTTATGTCTACATATCTTCTTTAACAACTCCACAGCTTTTAGTCTTTTCTTGATTATTGTCACGACATCCCTGTCATACGCTCACGGTACCCCGAGGTGCCTCAGCACCCAGTTTGAGAACCACTGCGTTATTGCATCGTGAGCCCGACCCGGTGACGTCAGCAGAACGACCTGTCAGCGGGAGCCGGTGGGGAAATTAACATCATGTTGCCTGTAAAACGTTTGGTACCTACAGTTCTGCTGGCATTTATCATATTTGTGAGTTTAATTCGAGAGGGGACTGCAACAAGCATGAGATTTCATAGAGGCAACCCGACTAACGATCTGGCCTGTGCTGACGAAACCGAACGCAAAGAAGAAGCAGAAGTTCAGTTTACCTTATCAAAGTCCAGTCGAATCTCCCTCATGCGCCGGGTCAAGCTACCAACCCTGGACAAGGCATACTTGAAGCCAAACAGATTCTGCAGAGTTCTGGAAATAGACAGCGTGTCATAGATGAAAAGCTAGATAATGCAGTTAGTATGAATTGTGGAAAGCCATTCTGTTACTTTGTGCAAACCATCAACATGTGCCATGCCGATAAATATATTATGTGGTCAAGTTACGATACACTACACAATGCCCAAGAATCGCGGATTAAGTCAGTGTTCTTGTTTCGATCCATCCATATGGCTAAGCCATCCAGATATTTATCTATACCTTTAAATATCTCTCTAGCTCTCTTCTCTCTCTCTCTCTCTCTCGCTCTGGCTCTCTCATTCGCTCTCTCTCACTCTCTCTCTCTCTCTCTTTCTCTCTCCTTCTCTCCAACAATCTTACCAATTGTTGTCAAGTTCTCGATGCCATTCTTTCTCCTAACATGTCCAAAGAGCACTATTAGCATAATTTGTGTTTTAAATTAGCTTTCAAACTTTCATCTATCTCCATATCTAATGAACGTAGGAATAAAGCCAGTCTTACAGGTTATTGAAGAACAACAAATGAAGTGGTTTGGACACCTAACAAGAATGCCCTGGTACTATCTGCCACATCGAGTCTCACTGAAACGTTACAACGGGTATAGAGCGAGCGGAAGACCTTAGATAAGATGGAGAGATGGATCAATCTTAATAGTGTTACATCTTCCCCTGTTTTTGCGAGTCTGTGGTTCCTTGCTGATAGATATGATCAGTATGGTGGATAGGCGGGCCGACCGTGTTAGTCTTGGCATGATGTATGCTTCTTGTCTTGGATGTTGAATTTGTGTCACATGTGAATTGAACATTGTTCTGTTGCCAAGTTACCAGGTTGAGCGCAGGGTGAAACACTGTAAGTCGTTATTTTACATGGAATGTTTTTCAACTGCTCCTAATATAGTTTGTACTATGAATTGCGGATTCAGAAAAGAATCAGTTGACATGTTGCCACAGAACTGATACGGTCATATGCAATATTACGCTCACAGGTTTTGATTTTTTGTAACTGCTTAATCCGTATACGATGAGCTACAGTTATAGTGGTGGACGGTTTGTGTTGGTACTTCAGACAGCTGCCTTATGCAGTTAGTTTGTGTGTGTGTTGCGTGTGTCTGATATATATTTATATCACTGGCCTTGTCGAGACTGAAGTATTTTCCAGCGATGGCCATTTTGTGTAGTTTTCGCTGGCAGGTTTTCATTATGTGTTCCGGTCCAAATACACACTCGTTGACCTTCCAGTCATGCTTTCTCACCTGTCACACGGGCTAGTCTATGTTGCAGGGGTGTCACGCTGTATTCTCTTCTCAAAGCTTTCTGTGTTGTGAATTACTCGTTGTTGTGAGCAGCAGCCGGTGACGTTAAGTCGTGGGACGTAGGCTGAGGCTGTAGGGTACAGGGGTTGGGGTTAAGGCGAGTTCTAGATGTTGTGTGGTCTTTAAAATCGCTTACGTCGCGTAAAATAGAACATGCGACATCGCCAGTAATAGAACCGAAGACCATACAATGGGACACCTCTGTACAATAGATTATCCCGTGTGTCAGGTGAGCAAGCATAAATGAAACGTCAAAAAGAGTGTATCTGGGCCGGAAAACGTGATAAGAGCCCGCTAGAATAATAGTGGAGCATTTATGGGGTGGACCCATTACCGTAAGGAGGAACTACGTATAACTAAAGTGGAAGGTGAAATTGTACCTGTTAGAGATTCCCTGGACAACCGATGAGATGTTTCCGATGTAGGTCGGGAAGCGGTTAATGACTCTCTCATCATCCGGTAGAGTGAGATTGGCGGTTGCGAAGGCCTCTCTGATGGCTCCAGAGATGTTCAACTTAAAGAAACAATTAACAAGTTAAAAGCGATAGAACTACAAGTGATGCTGATAGAATAAAAATTCTTATGGTAACTGACATTACATGTATAGATGATATGATAAAGCGTTTTAATTTTCTTCTCCGTCATCCTCCAGCTCCTTTATCCTCCTCTTTTCCTCCCATCTTCTCCCCCACTTGCCCTTTCCCTCCTGGGGCTGAACAGTCTTCCAAACAATCCTTGCAACGTCAACATTTTTAGAACCGCTGGGATGAAAGGGAAATAATCACCGCTGACAGTTTTCCCTTTTCCAAAGAAATGTAAATGTATTATTTATTATTACTGTTTCCTGTGTATTTAAAATACGCCTCTTAGTTTGACGTCTTGAACGTAGCAAAAATATCTCTCGTTGCATACTTACGCTACTCATGCAGAAAGTATAACATCAGAAAGTTATCAGTTACTAGTACTGCAAATGCTAGCTGCGCACGGATATTTTCAACAGTGAAGCGACGAAGAGGAAAATATCAAGTGACACTTTCTTCAGTGTAATAATTACCTGCTAACGCTAACGCATGCGAAATAATGCCGCGTTTTCTACCTGTCACTGTTTAAAACTGACATATGTAGTCTGCAGCTGAGCCCTTTAAGTCTTTCTAGACGATAATGATCTATTGTACTGAGGTGAGATATAGGAATCACCGCTCATGTCGGTGGCCAGTGGGGCTAGCACAACCTGTTGATGTAAGTGCGTGCGATGTCAAGTATCTGTACTCTAATTGAAAGTATTCTTCGTAAATGGTGCTATTCTGTTCCAACATATTTATTAATCCACGACTTTCCACCACACGTGTCTTGTTTTTCTTACCTGGGGTTATTTTATGTTTCTACGCTGAGTGCGGTTGTACTGATTATGTGTGTGTGTTTGTGTGTGTGTGTGTGTGTGTGTGTGTGAGTGTGTGTGAGAGTCTCTAGGCATCGGAGTGTCTGTGTGCCGTGGTGCTATTGTGCCCAGCACGCGTCTGTGTGTGTGTGTGTGTGAAAGAGGGCGGGTGTTGGTGGGTTTCTGTGTATCATCATCATCATGTAGCAGGTCCTTTGCAGAACGTCGCTCTCATCACCGTCTGCCTGAAAGAAACTCGGTCTCTCGCCAGTTCTCCCGCCTCATGCATTTTCACATTCAAGGAGTCACTTATATCCTGTGCCCTTCTTCCTGGTACCATGCCTTCTGCTATAATTTTTTTTCAATCCGCCGTGGCGCTTGATATGACCAAAATATTTCAGCTTTCGAGAAAGGATGCTGTTTATTAGCCAATCTTCCTCGATGCCCAGATCTTTCAAGATGTCAGTTTTTCTCATCTTCTTTGTCCAAGATATTCTGAGAATCTTTCTATAACATTTAAGCTCAAAAGCCCCTATTCTCTTTGTCAAGGACTGAGAGATAGCCCACGACTCACATCCGTATGTAACCACAGAGAAGATGCATGTTCTCGAAATTCTAATTTTTATCTCCTTGCTGGTGCTTAACCATAGACTTTTAAGACAGTTCAATCTTTGCATTGCTATGGTCATCCTCCTTTTAATTTCTGTCAAACAGTCTCCATTGTTGTTTATTATAGACCCTAGATATTCAAAGTTTGTGACATTTTCAATTTCTTCATCATTTATTGTTATGTTTGGGTGACTGTGTATAGTGGTACTTACATGTGTGGACGCGGATGTTCTTGTGTTGGGTGGTTGTTATGGGTGTGTACGTGCGGTAGGCTGTGAGCGTTTAGTTTGTGAAATGATGGTGATGGTTATCTGTTGCAGGCGGATGTGCAGGGCGAGGGATGGAATTCATGTAAGTGGTGGAAACTAAGTGTCTGTGTGTGTGTGTGTGTGTTTGGTTAGTATTCTTGCGTTTTATGGTGGTTATGTGTGGAGGTAAATAAAAAAAAGGGTGGAAGGGGGTGGGAGGGGTTCATTATGTGAATGCGGGAGCGGGTGTTAATGTTATGACGATGTTTGTGTGGTTATGTCTGTATGAGTGTGGTGTGCTCCACCTCTGTTATTCTATTGTTAACTCTATGATTCACAGCCATACAGTCCTAGGATCGGTAGACTGGTATGTCCACCCCTAGCTGTTAGCTGAAAGTTTGCCATCCTAAGATTAAAAAACAAACTATGTGGATCTAGATAGCAGACCAAAATGACAAGTAACATTTACACTGTTCAGCTTCTAAAAGATGTTTAATTAAGACTATATTTGCCTAGTGTAACCTGCTGCCCTAGGTTTGTCAAGACCGAGAGAATCATACAGCGAACCGGCTGAATAATATTTCCATACTCTCTTTTGTCTTCTTCTTCTGCCTCTTTAGCTCTCAATGGAGAATAGGCGCTCAACTCACGCCAAGTCGTTCTATATTTTGCTATCGCTTGCAGCTCTTCATTCTCCAGCTCTCCCCATGTCCTCCCCATCTTTCTAACTTCATTCTCCAGCTCTCCCCATGTCCTCCCCATCTTTCTAACTTCATTCTCCAGCTCTCCCCATGCCTATCTTTCTAACTTCATTCTCCAGCTCTCCCCATGTCCTCCCCATCTTTCTAACTTCATTCTCCAGCTCTCCCCATGTCCTCCCCATCTTTCTAACTTCATTCTCCAGCTCTCCCCATGCCCATCTTTCTAACTTCATTCTCCAGCTCTCCCCATGTCCTCCCCATCTTTCTAACTTCATTCTCCAGCTCTCCCCATGTCCTCCCCATCTTTCTAACTTCATTCTCCAGCTCTCCCCATGTCCTCCCCATCTTTCTAACTTCATTCTCCAGCTCTCCCCATGTCCTCCCCATCTTTCTAACTTCATTATCCAGCTCTCCCCATGTCCTCCCCATCTTTCTAACTTCATTCTCCAGCTCTCCGCATGTCCTCCCAATCTTTCTAACTTCATTCTCCAGCTCTCCCCATGTCCTCCCCATCTTTTTAACTTCATTCTCCAGCTCTCCCAATCTCCTCCCCATCTTTCTAACTTCATTCTCCAGCTCTCCCCATGTCCTCCCCATCTTTCTAACTTCATTCTCCAGCTCTCCCCATGTCCTCCCCATCTTTCTAATTTCATTCTCCAGCTCTCCCCATGTCCTCCCCATCTTTCTAACTTCATTCTCCAGCTCTCCCCATGTCCTCCCCATCTTTCTAACTTCATTCTCCAGCTCCCTTCTCCACGTGTTTTTTTATATCTTCCCTTTTTTTTCCCTTTTTTTCCCACTGGAGCTTGTATAGTTCTCTCTACATTAGTGATTTAATTATACCATTTTATAGCAAACAAAATGTGACCTTTACATAAGGCCCATTTTACCCTTCTAGATACACTATTTTCCTTTGCCTAGCCTACTCTTGATCTCTCCAATGTATCCTCCCTCTGATTTTACGATTGCCCCAAAATAAAATTTTATAACATGTTTTGTTTCTTGCATGACTTATCAAAGGAGATTTTTTTTATAATTGTCTCTTTAAATATTATTACCTTGCCCTCATCTGTTCATTTTGATCCATCTCTTCTTTCATCGAGTTCAGAAAAATAATCATATATCTTCACTTTGTTCTCCGCTAGCTATAAAATCCTTTGTTGTGATCTTAGCATATCTTGATGGATTTCTTCGAATGAGGTGGTTTTTGTGCCGATAAAACTTCAACTGGTGTTCATTCTAAATATTTTCTGCTGAAGTTTCACTATTGACATCTTTCTCTCAGTTTTATTATTTTTTGTTCGTTTTGTTGCAGTGCTCTTTCCATATGTAAGGACATATCCCCCAAGTTTCATTAGTGGTGTACCACATATCCTTTAATACTATCAGTCTTGTTTCTAAAGTAACTAGCAACAATCACAGTAGCAGTATTAGTGGCAGTAGTAGTAGTAGTTGTAGTAGTTGTAGTAGTAGTAGTAGTATAAGTAGTAGTAGAAGTAGTAGTAGTAGTAGTAGTAGTAGTAGTAGTAGTAGTAGTAGTAGTAGTAGTAGTAGTAGTAGTAGTAGTAGTAGTAGCAGCAGCAGCAGCAGCAGTTGTAGTAGTTGTCGTAGTAGTAGTAGTTGTAGTAGTAGAAGTAGTAGTAGTAGTAGTAGTAGTAGTAGTAGTAGTAGTAGTAGTAGTAGTAGTAGTAGTAGTAGTAGTAGTAGTAGTAGTAGTAGTAGTAGTAGTAGTAGTAGAGGAAGTAGCAGCAGTATCAGTAGTAGTAATAAAGGAATGGTGTTAATGTTGAATCAAGAATCGATATCACACGACTCGGTACACGCCTATAAGCGCTCAGTCCCCATCTTCAGCAGCAAGCGAAGAGTTATAGTTCCGATGGCACCAGTAACCGTCTGATTGTATATCCATCTCATCCTTCCCCTGAGTGTTGAGCGTCGGCCAGATCCCCTAGTAACTCCTCGCACCACCATTCTCCTTAGACAGAAATGATCTATATGCGCCTCCGCGCTGGTCACTTCATCTCAAAGGGTCCTCACAATAGCTAGCTTGTCATACATCAATTCACCATCAAGTGGTGCTGAGCCAGTGAGTCTATCTGCCTGCTCATGTCCGAACACACCGGCATACCTGAAGAAAATATCCAAAGGATGCTAACTACCTGGTATATCTGAAGGGATGCTTGCCACTCTGCACGAAGCATGCCTGTTTTCACCTTTTTCAACATGCTTTGTGAGTCAGTTACAATCACGGCATGTGCGTACAGCTGATTATCATGCCAGCTGAAGGCAGCAGAGACTGCCTACACCTCCATTCTCAAACTAGCCGTAGATATATAATATTCAAGGTTTCGCTTCACTAGACTACATCAGTAGTACTAGTAGTAGTAGTAGTAGAAGTAGTAGTAGTAGTAATATTAGTAGTTTTTGTTTTTATTTATAGTTGTAGTAATACTAGTAGTAGCAGCAACAGCAGTAGCAGCATTGGTAGAAGCAGTTGTTGTTGTTGTTGTAGAAGTAATAGTTGTAGCAATAGTAGTTACAGTAAAAGAAGACATATTAATTGGTGTAGTAGTTGTGGTGGTGGCAACAGCAATACTAGTTGTGGTTGTTATAGTATTAGTAGTTAAAGTAGTAGTTGCATTAGCAGTAAAGGTAGTGGTGATAGTGGTGGTGGTGGTATGTTGAACTGCCATTAGCAGTAGCAGTAGATATTGTTTGTTGTAGTAATAGTGGTAGTAGGCAGAGTAGTAGTAGTTTTAGTAGTGTTAGTAAAAGTGGTAGAATAGTTACAGCAGCATTAGAAGTTGTTTTAGTGGCAGGAATAGCTTTGGCGGCAGCTGCAGTACTAGTAGAAGAAAGACTAGTACTTTTGTGCTGGTGCTAGGAGTAGTAATATCAGTTATAATATTAATAGTAGTATTTGTAGTTGAAGTAGTAGTAGTAGTAGTAGTAGTAGTAGAAGTAGTAGTAGTAGTAGTAGTAGTAGTAGTAGTAGTAGTAGTAGTAGTAGTAGTAGTAGTAGTAGTAGTAGTAGTAGTAGTAGTAGTAGTAATAGTAGTAGTATTAGTAGTTGCAGCAGCAACAACAACAGTAGCAGCAGCAGCAGCAGCAGCAGTAGTTGTGATAAATAAGTGAAAATAGATGACTGAGGTGTCTATGATAATACACCTTAACCTACCTAGAAATACGAACTAGATTTTCCTGAGGATTCACACTTCACTAACCTTATTAACAAACCTACCGTAACAAGAGATAACGAATTAGATTTCACCTAAAAACTGTGCAAATTATATTTCACCAAAGAAACAAGGTTCAAAGAACAGAACGGATTAGTTATCCATGGGAACACAAACTTTTATAAGCTGAGGAAACACTATGGGCCTAGCTGAAGACAGAGATTCGATCTGTATGAAGGTGGAACTAAGACTTACTTCTGGGTACAGACTTGACAAGTTCCCTATCTGAAGACAGAGATTTGATCTGTATGAAGGTGGAACTAAAACTTACTTCTGGGTACAGACTTGACAAGTTCCCCAGCTGAACCAGGTTGTACTGCTTTCTGGAGTCTCGTCTCTCCTCTCTGGGAACCATGATCTGTGGAAATGAAGTGTTTTGTTGATCACATTGTCCCGGACAGACGCCTGTGGTGCTGACGTGTCATACTTATCCTTCTTACACTTAAAGTCTACATCTTTTCCCTAAAAGTGGTCTCGCGGCATGGTGTCCGCCTCGGGTGCTAGAGGTTCCTGGTTCAATCCCCGGTAAGGGCTGAGATTTTTTCATGTGGACTTAGATTTCCATTAATTCCACCTGGTCTCTTGGTAGTGAGATCGGACGCCCGTGTGCATTGTTGCGCACGTAAAAAATCCCCTGGCGGCTGGAAATCGAAAAGAGTAGCCTAACGGCGCTGCCAGGGCAACATTTGTAGTTAAAAATCTACCCAAAGTATTTTAGGACCTTTGCCAGTGCAACAGAGTTCGTTTACTGCGTGGAGATTATTCGGACTTAGGCTGGAGTTAGATGAAGAACTGAGCACTTATGGGTTACACCCGAGTGCCATGATCTTGAACCGTTGAATAAACATAAACAGTCAATATGTACAGTTAAACAATAATTAGATCCGTACACGGTTTGCCAGGAATATTAGTTGGTCGGCATATTGTTAAAAACCTGCCCTATGCTGACAATATAGTTTTCATCGCTGAATATAAAACACAACTGCAAGAAGTGATGGAGATAATTGTAACAGAAAGTGAAAACAAGGTTCTTAGTTTCAACAGCAGAAAAACAGAAGTTTTGGTAATTACACCCACACACAAAACTGACCCTCCGAAGTGCAATATTAAAACAAGTGGGACAAACCTCAAGCAAGTTGATATGTTTAAGTACTTGGGTCCCCTGATAACATCAGATGGAAGATGTATTAGAGAAGCTAAATGTCGAATAGCTCAAGCAAAGCTACATTTTACAAAATGAAGAATATTTTATGCAATTTTTTTTTTTTTTGTTAATTGAGATGAGAAACAGAATTCTTAAAAGTTACATTATTCCTATATTTATATATGGATGAGAATCATGGACAGTTAGTAAATTAGTGAAAACATATTTGGAAGCTGCTGAGATGTGGTTTATAGACGAATGTTGAAAATACCCTGGACAGATAAAAAAAAAAAAAAGCAACGAAGACTAAAGAAACTCACTCACGAAGAGAACTGATTGCCCACATCAGAAAGGGACAATCTACATTCTTTGGTCATGTGATGACAAGAGATAACTGGAATACATCGCATGACAGTACGAAAGTTGGAGAGGAGGAGAGGCAGAGGGAGACCGAGAGAAAAGATGCTGGACAGTTTGACATTATAGCATTGAAAAACATATGTGTCAGAGCTGACTGAAAGTACACGAGACAGAAGGCTGAGGATAGACACGACTACTAACGCCACACTGCATGACATCTAAAAAGAATATGTCACACATCAAGATACATTTTCTATCATAATGTTCTGAATCCCATTTCATCTGATCATATCAGAGATCTTAATGTACTCTACATTATAATCTTCTGACGCCGTTTTGTCCTCACTAAATAAGAGATCTAGATCTATTCCGGTGTGTTCATCTGTCCCCTTTGTCATGCATCATATATCTATATCTATTCCGTTAAGCTGCCCTCTGTACCCTTTGTCCTGACTACATCAGAGATCTAGATCTATTCCGTTGAGCTGCCTTCTGTACTCTTTATCCTGACCACATCAGAGATCTATATCTATTCCGTTAAGCTGCCCTCTGTACCCTTTGTCCTGACTACATCAGAGATCTAGATCTATTCCGTTGAGCTGCCTTCTGTACTCTTTGTCCTGACCACATCAGAGATCTAGATCTATTCCGTTGAGCTGCCCTCTGTACCCTTTGTCCTGACTACATCAGAGATCTATATCTATTCCGTTAAGCTGCCCTCTGTACCCTTTGTCCTGACTACATCAGAGATCTAGATCTATTCCGTTGAGCTGCCTTCTGTACTCTTTGTCCTGACCACATCAGAGATCTAGATCTATTCCGTTGAGCTGCCCTCTGTACCCTTTGTCCTGACTACATCAGAGATCTAGATCTATTCCGTTGAGCTGCCCTCTGTACTCTTTGTCCTGACCACATCAGAGATCTAGATCTCTTCCGTTGAGCTGCCCTCTGTACCCTTTGTCCTGACTATATCAGAGTTCTCGATATATTCCGTGTCTGTCAGCCAGTTAGTTGCTTTTACAGTAGTAATTTAATATCCGGAAGTAATCCGGACAATTTTTACTAGTAACTGGTAGCTCCAGAGGTAATGATAAACACTGGCAGGTAGGTACAAGAAGAAGAGATAGAATCACTATCGTCGGCGATTGCGCTGGAAACCGACAATGTCCATAATGTTTCTCTTCATTCGCTCAACAGCGTTATGTGTTTCACGTTCGTGTGACGCAATTTTTATGTGCCTTTTTGGAAGGTTGCCAAGAATAATGTTCCCTTGTCTTCAATCCCTTATATTTCTGTTTTTCTTTTTTCCTTTTCTTTCTCTTTTTTTCTTTCTTTCTTTCTTTCTTTCTTTCTTTCTTTCTTTCTTTCTTTCTTTCTTTCTTTCTTTCTTTCTTTCTTTCTTTCTTTCTTTCTTTCCTTTTTCCGTTTATCTTTCTTATTTTCCCTCTTTTCTTTTTTTCCTTCTTCTTCTCCTCCTCCTCGTCCTGCTTCTTCTTCTTCTTTTCTTCTTCTTCTTCTTCTTCTTCTTCTTCTTCTTCTTCTTCTTCTTCTTCTTCTTCTTCTTCTTCTTCTTCTTCTTCTTCTTCTTCTTCTTTCTTCTTCTTCTTCTTCTTCTTCTTCTTCTTCTTCTTCTTCTTCTTCTTCTTCTTTTTCTTCTTCTTCTTCTTCTTCTTCTTCTTCTTCTTCTTCTTCTTCTTCTTCTTCTGCTTCATATTCTTCTTCTTCTTCTTTTTCTTCTTATTCTTGTTCTACTCCCGCTTCTTTTTCATTCTTATCCACCTCTTAATATTAAAATTATATACATAGTAGCTCCTAATTAAAACGAAAATGAATTAGTCACAACTGAAAAAAAAAAGGTTATGTAGAGTGAAAGTTTGACATAAAAAAAAAAAAAAATAATAATAATGTGGCAAGGAAATAAATAGACATTCAGAAACTCAGACCTGCGAGCGGGCATACAGACTTCTACAGACTATAGACAGGCACACATATTAGACGAGCGGACAAACAATGCGTAAAACCTCACCTTCGATAACGCAATCTCCAGATCCACCACGTCTCGGGCATCCTGCTCTGCGATCGTCCTGTTGGCATCCAGGGCAATTGCCGTTTCGGCCAAGTATTTCTCGTAGGCCATGATGACCGAATCATTTCTGGGTTTGCCAAAATATTCCATAGACAGTCCAAGGTTTCCTTCACTCAGCTGGAGGAGAAGAGTTTCCAGTACATGAGCATAGATCAGCGACGATGTCATCTTTGTTGGAGCAGCAGCAGCAGAGCGGCAGCAACAGTAGTAGTAGTAGCCGAAGTATTAGCAGCAGCAGCAGTAGCAGCAACAGTGTGAGTAGCAGTAGTAGTAATCGTGGCTGTAGTAGTAGTAGTAGCAAAGTTGGTGGTGGTGATTGTGGTTGTGTTATTATTATTATATTTTTTATAATAATTATTATTATTAGTAGCAGTAGTAGCAGTAGTAGCAGTAGTAGCAGTAGTAGCAGTAGTAGCAGTAGTAGCAGTAGTAGCAGTAGTAGCAGTAGTTGTAGTAGCAGTCGTAGCAGTAGTAGCAGTAGTAGTAGTAGCAGTAGTAGCAGTAGTAGTAGTAGCAGTAGTAGCAGTAGTAGCAGTAGTAACAGTAGTAGTAGTAGCAGTAGTAGCAGTAGTAGTAGTAGCAGCAAAAGCAGCAGTAAGCGGGAGACAAAAAGATAATGAACTGAATGCATGAGACATACCATTTGTAAGAACAGTTTTCAGTATAGCAACTTACATTACCAAATCGCAAGGTCAGATGGAGTAGAGATGCACGCAGACAGACATTCAAACTGAATTAGCGACCTCTCTTATACGACTGAATGAGTCAAATAATCAGTCAACTAATCACAAAGTGACTTTACTGCACTCCAGGCACTCCTGCAGGTGTTCTGTCTTCTTGCTCAGTAGCAACCGAAGAATACCCATGCTGATAAGAGTCATGTGCACGAATTGTTGCCAAATATAAACCTTGCGCATCAAATGTATGTGTGCGTGTGCCTGCAAAATGTCAGCACTATAGCTAATCGAGAAATAGAATACAAATCGAACACAAATGGCTGTCCAGGCAAACATGCTAGTTAAACAAAAATAGAAGCTTATAAAAAGGTAAGACGTTGACAGACAGGTGTCAGGAGCTGGAAAAGGAGGAGGAGACGGAGATTAAGCGGAGGATAAGGAAAACAAGAAAAAGAAGAATAAATAGAAAGCAGAAGAAGAAGAAGAAGAAGAAGAAGAAGAAGAAAGAAGAAGAAGAAGAAGAAGAAGAAGAAGAAGAAGAAGAAGAAGAAGAAGAAGAAGAAGAAGAAGAAGAAGAAGAAGAAGAAGAAAGAAAGAAAAGGTAAAAGAAGAAGAAGAAAGAGGAAGCAGAAGAAGAAGACAAAGAAGAAGAAGACAAAAGAAAAAGGGAAAAAAGGAGGGAGAGAATGGAGGAAGGGAGAAAAGAAAAAAAAGAAAGAAAGAAAGAAAGAAAGAAAGAAAGAAAGAAAGAAAGAAAGAAAGAAAGAAAGAAAGAAAGAAAGAAAAGAAAAAGAAAAAAGAAGAAAGAAAGAAAAAGAAAGAAAGAAAGAAAGAAAGAAAGAAAGAAAGAAAGAAAGAAAGAAAGAAAGAAAGAAAGAAAGAAAGAAAGAAAGAAAGAAAGAAAGAAAGAAAGAAAGAAAGAAAGAAAGAGAGAAAGAAAGAACAACAGACAAAGAAGAGCGATAATAATAAGAAAGATAATTAGGAGAATACACAAATTGGAAAGAATATCACATGTGCAGCTCACATAAAGAACTTTCTGGTTGGAATTCATCATGTCCGTAGAGGCATAGTAGGAGAAGATAGGCTCTATGTAGACACTCTCGTAGCGAGCAATGACCTCGTTAAGGTTGAAGCTGTCATCTGTCCAGCTGGGATTGAGTGTGGGCCAGTCGTCCACGAATGTCCGGTCGTCCTCAAGGTAGGGTTTCAGTCCGATCTTTTCGATCTGAGCTGAGAAACATAGGGATATGAGCAACAATGATAAGTGTGTAGTATTTGAAGAGATCCGTATATTTAATGATAGAAGAGAATGGTTAACGATCTGCCTCGCGAAATCATGTCTGTTTCTTTTGCATTTGATAGCATCAGTCTCTATCATGACTGTGTGCAAACGGGACATGAATGATGCAGGTACTGAGGTAGTTTGTGGGAGCAAAATGCCAAGGACTGTGGGAATTAGGTAGGGAATGAATAAATAAATAAATCCCTACAGAGAGCTTGACAGCTGAGTGTCGCAGAAGAACCACACTCAATTCATTTGATGACAACAACGGTCATGATTTCCCATGGTCTAAATGTGGTAAACGAGAGGCGGGTTTTGCTAGCCATACTCGCCATCGCCATGGTCTGTGATTCCCATGCCTCCCCACACCAAACTTTAATACTCTTGTCTGGAAAGACAGAAACGTTTCAAGAATATCATTCTATACATTCTTTTGCATTATCCTAAAACATGTGCTTAGCTAACGAAAACCGGAACTGCAACTGACCTTCATTAGTGCAAGATCGGTACAGCTTTTTCATGTTGGTCAAATAAAGCGGTTTTGTGTCTTTGATGTCCTCCACGATAATATCTGAAAATATAATTTCTGTCTGATAACTCTGGATCAGTATCATGGAATGATAATAAACAAACAGGACAATCCTCATTAAAATATTGTATCTATACGTCGTCCCCCTTGTGGGATGCAATAGTTCGCTATTTTGAAGCCACAACCTGGCTTTTGCCGGCTGCGGCCTTATTGCCTAATGGTTGAACGGGGTTGTCTGCGCCTCAAGATGGGTATCGGAGCGCTTATGGGAATGCCCCGAATGCTGTCATACATGTTTTTTTTTACTCACAACTCACTGGATTTCCTTCGAATATTCACTTTACTAAAAAAAAAAAAAAAATTATTTTATGCATTTTTTATTTTTAACATAACAGTTAATAGTTATGTTCTTTATCTATCCATCTATCTTTCTTCTTATTCTTATTCTTCTGCTGCTGCTGTTGCCATTTAACCCCCAAAGGAGCACAGGCACCCAACCAACTCACGTCACGTGGTTCTATCCTTTGCTATTGCATGCAGATCTCCCTTTCTCCTCCCCATCTTTTTAACTTCTAGCTCTAGCTCCCTTCTCAATGTTTTTTTTTTTTATTCCTATGCCTCTCTGGGTTCCAGTGCTAAGAAATTATAGTTATATTGTCCTGTTTTTCTTGAAATATGTCATATACAAAGCCAGCGTCTTTTCTTCACCTATTTGTCCATTGAAACGTAGTTAGTTCTCTCCAAAAGCTCTACATTAGTGATTCTATCATACCATTTAATTCTCTCTATTCTGCGCAGGCACCAGTTAATGAATGTCTGTAATTTATTAGTAATTGCCTTAGTTGTTCTCCATGTTTCTGCCCCATACAACAGTACTTTTTTGACATTAGAATTACACATTTTTAATTTAGTATTTCTTTTGATCTCTTTTCACCTCCACAAATTCCCAAGTGTTATTAAAGCTCCTCTAGCCATTTTTATTCGAATTTCAATATCTCTATCAGTCCACACGTCTATGTCTATATTACTGCCCAAATAGGTGTACGACTCCACGTCTTAGCCTGGGGTACACTTAAGAGAAACCACATTACTATTTGCCTGATTTATTTTCATCATCTTTGTCTTTCCCTTATGGATTTTCAAACCTAGCTGTTGTGATCTCGCATCAAGTATATTTAATTTGTCTTGCATTTAATTCCGTTAATGGGACCGAAGAGAAATATCATCAGCGAAGTCCAGATCATCAAGCTGTTTTGTAGGTGTCTACAGAATTCCATTCTTGGTGTTAGCGGTTACTGTCTTCATAATCCAGTCTATAGCCAGTAAAAATCTTTATCTATCATTCATTATGAAATCGACTGGTAATACGTCCCGTCTTTCTTCTTCGTCTTTCTTCTTTTTCTTCTTTTTCTTCTTTTTTTTCTTTTTCTTCTTCTTCTTCTTCTTCTTCTTCTTCTTCTTCTTCTTCTTCTTCTTCTTCTTCTTCTTCTTCTTCTTCTTCTTCTTCTTCTTCTTCTTCTTCTTCTTCTTCTTCTTCTTCTTCTTCTTCTTCTTCTTCTTCTTCTTTTTCTTCTTCTTCTTCACTTCTTCCTCTTCTTCTCTCTCTGTCTCTGTCTCTGTCTCTCTCTTTCTCTCTCTATCTGTCTCTCTCTCTCTTTCTCTCTCGTATCGTTAGGGTATCTTGCTCTTCTGGCCACCTCGACCACAGACACATCGAGCTGTGGTGATTTATCTGATGTTATCTTTCCACTTTGTTTCTGGTCTACCTCGTGGTCTGCGTCCTTCTCCTCATTCCATGTAGGCTTTATACGGCATGATTGTCCGCTATAATGTATATGTCGGTGACTGTAGCCTAGGCGTTAATGCCAGGGTGCCGGGTTCGATCCCAGCTGCGGGAGATTTAGCAGCAGACCGTCTGGCGCTGGTTTCGACAGGGGTAAAGAGAGTCAGCACTTAGGAAAGCAACGACAAACTACTTAATGCAAATTTGCTTAGAAAAACTGGAGAAAACAAAAATTGGGGTTGGGTCTGCAAAGTCCTGTAATGGATATGGAACTTCTTTATATGGTGGAGCATTCTCTCTAAGTGTGCAAATCATTTCATTTTGCTGCCATTGTAAGTATTTTAGAATTACTTCTCATTTCTTTAATAACTTTGTTTTTATTATGCCTTATGATTTACCTTTCATGATAAGCTTGTTTTCGTCGCTCAAGACACTGAAAGTGCCCACACGAGTTCTGCCCTCTGGTAAGACGGTTTCTTCAATGAAGCGCCCACAAGCGTACTCACTGAAATCCTCGCAAGGGTTCGCGGAGAGGTTCATCTTCTTAGCCATCATGGCGGCTGTGGACAGAGGATTGCATTCAGTTAAAGGGACCTTTCTTGCAAGGTTTTGCTCGCAGCAAGCATATCATCCATGGGAAATGAAAGGGACCTAATGTCTACCTTTATTTCAAAGTCAAAGAGGATCACGCCGTACTGCGCTTATCTTTAGAGAAAAAAAAAAATAGTAGAGAACGAACGAACGAACAAACTTTGTTTTCAAAGGGTTACAAACTGGGATCACAGACCCGTCTGTCATTCGTCCCTTCTAAGCACTCAGCTTTCAGAGTACTAATGTCTGTTATCAATAATGCATGTTATGTTTATAGCAGGGAAAAAATATACATTATAGAATGATGCATACACACATTATGTATACACAATCATACACTTAATAACAAACATACACACACGTACACATACTATTACATTCTCATACGTACACATACATACTCATATACAGACATATGTATAACATATATACACGCAGACATACAAAAAATACATACATATATACACTCATTGGCACACATACATTGATAGAGGATCATAAAAGAGACACCGAAATGGGAATTAGATTAAAGAAACGATGACTTCCCATAAGAACTCTACAATGGCACTTGATGTGGGAGGTCAAATATACTGGCCCGTATTCTATTCATGGAACTAAAATGTCTCTATTGTTACTTCATTCAGTAGCTTTTGTATATCCTCCCTCCCTCCCCCTAGGACAGACAATGTTCAAGACAGACAATGTTCAAGAAGACAATGTTCAAGACAGACAATGTTCAAGACAGACAATGTTCAAGACAGACAATGTTCAAGACAGACAATGTTCAAGATAGACAATGTTCAAGACAGACAATGTTCAAAATAGACAATGTTCAAGACAGACAATGTTCAAGATAGACAATATTCAAGATAGACAATGTTCAAGATAGACAATGTTCAAGACAGACAATGTTCAAGACAGACAATGTTCAAGACAGACAATGTTCAAGACAAACAATGTTCAAGACTGACAATGTTCAAGATAGACAATATTCAAGACAGAACAATGTTTCACGACAGACAATGTTCAGAAGAATTTTTCAAGACAGACAATGTTACAAGACAAACAATGTTCAAGGACAGACAATGTTCAAGACAGACAATGTTCAAAACAGACAATGTTCAAGAAGACAATGTTCAAGATAGACAATGTTCAAGATAGACAATTTTCAAGACAGACAATGTTCAAGAAGACAATGTTTAAGAAGACAATGTTCAAGACAAACAATGTTCGAAGACAATGTTCAAGACAGACAATGTTCAAGAGACGATGTTCAAATAGTATCAATGTTCAAGATAGACAATATTCAAGATAGACAATATTCAAGATGGACAATGTTCAAGATAGACAATGTTCAAGACAGACAATGTTCAAGAAAGACATGTTCAAGAAGAACAATGTCAAGACAAACAATGTTCAAGACAGACAATGTTCAAGACAGACAATGTTCAAGACAGACAATGTTCAAGATAGACAATGTTCAAGACAGACAATGTTCAAGACAAACAATGTTCAAGACAGACAATGTTCAAGACAGACAATGTTCAAGAAGACAATGTTCAAGACAGACAATGTTCAGATAGACAATGTTCAGACAGACAATGTTCAAGATACACAGACATGTTCAAGAAGACAATGTTCAAGACAGACAATGTTCAAACAGACATGTTTCAAGACCAGACAATGTTCAAGACAGACAATGTTCAAGATAGACAATGTTCAAGACAGACAATGTTCAAAATAGACAATGTTCAAGACAGACAATGTTCAAGATAGACAATATTCAAGATAGACAATGTTCAAGATAGACAATGTTCAAGACAGACAATGTTCAAGACAGACAATGTTCAAGACAGACAATGTTCAAGACAGACAATGTTCAAGACAAACAATGTTCAAGACTGACAATGTTCAAGATAGACAATATTCAAGACAGACAATGTTCAAGACAGACAATGTTCAAGAAGACAATTTTCAAGACAGACAATGTTCAAGACAAACAATGTTCAAGACAGACAATGTTCAAGACAGACAATGTTCAAAACAGACAATGTTCAAGAAGACAATGTTCAAGATAGACAATGTTCAAGACAGACAGTTTTCAAGACAGACAATGTTCAAGAAGACAATGTTCAAGAAGACAATGTTCAAGACAAACAATGTTCAAGACAGACAATGTTCAAGACAGACAATGTTCAAGATAGACAATGTTCAAGATAGACAATATTCAAGATAGACAATGTTCAAGAAAGACAATGTTCAAGATAGACAATGTTCAAGACAGACAATGTTCAAGATAGACAATGTTCAAGACAGACAATGTTCAAGACAGACAATGTTCAAGATAGACAATGTTCAAGACAGACAATGTTCAAGATAGACAATGTTCAAGACAGACAATGTTCAAGAAGACAATGTTCAAGACAGACAATGTTCAAGACAAACAATGTTCAAGATAGACAATATTCAAGATAGACAATATTCAAGATAGACAATGTTCAAGATAGACAATGTTGAAGACAGACAATGTTCAAGAAGACAATGTTCAAGAAGACAATGTTCAAGACAAACAATGTTCAAGACAGACAATGTTCAAGACAGACAATGTTCAAGATAGACAATGTTCAAGACAGACAATGTTCAAGACAAACAATGTTCAAGACAGACAATGTTCAAGACAAACAATGTTGAAGATAGACAATATTCAAGATAGACAATATTCAAGATAGACAATATTCAAGATAGACAATGTTCAAGACAAACAATGTTCAAGAAGACAATGTTCAAGCAAACAATGTTCAAGACAGACAATGTTCAAGATAGACAATATTCAAGATAGACAATATTCAAGATAGACAATGTTCAAGATAGACAATGTTCAAGACAGACAATGTTCAAGACAGACAATGTTCAAAACAGACAATGTTCAAGAAGACAATGTTCAAGACAGACAATGTTCAAAACAGACAATATTCAAGATAGACAATATTCAAGACAGACAATGTTCAAGATAGACAATGTTCAAGACAGACAATGTTCAAGATAGACAATATTCAAGATAGACAATGTTCAAGATAGACAATATTCAAGATAGACAATATTCAAGATAGACAATATTCAAGATAGACAATATTCAAGACAGACAATGTTCAATATAGACAATGTTCAAGACAGACAATGTTCAAGACAGACAATGTTCAAGAAGACAATTTTCAAGACAGACAATGTTCAAGACAGACAATGTTCAAGACAGACAATGTTCAAGACAGACAATGTTCAAGACAGACAATGTTCAAGACAGACAATGTTCAAGACAGACAATGTTCAAGATAGACAATGTTCAAGACAAACAATATTCAAGACAGACAATGTTCAAGACAGACAATGTTCAAGACAGACAATGTTCAAGACAGACAATGTTCAAGAAGACAATGTTCAAGACAAACAATGTTCAAGACAGACAATGTTCAAGACAGACAATGTTCATGACAGACAATGTTCAAGACAGACAATGTTCAAGATAGACAATATTCAAGATAGACAATGTTCATGATAGACAATGTTCAAGACAGACAATGTTCAAGATAGACAATGTTCAAGACAGACAATATTCAAGACAGACAATATTCAAGATAGACAATGTTCAAGATAGACAATGTTCAAGATAGACAATGTTCAAGATAGACAATGTTCAAGACAGACAATGTTCAAGACAGACAATGTTCAAGATAGACAATGTTCAAGACAGACAATGTTCAAGACAGACAATGTTCAAGACAGACAATGTTCAAGATAGACAATTTTCAAGACAGACAATATTCAAGACAGACAATATTCAAGATAGACAATGTTCAAGATAGACAATGTTCAAGATAGACAATGTTCAAGACAGACAATATTCAAGACAGACAATGTTCAAGACAGACAATGTTCAAGATAGACAATGTTCAAGACAGACAATGTTCAAGACAGACAATGTTCAAGAAGACAATTTTCAAGACAGACAATGTTCAAGACAGACAATGTTCAAGACAGACAATGTTCAAGACAGACAATGTTCAAGACAGACAATGTTCAAGATAGACAATGTTCAAGATAGACAATATTCAAGATAGACAATATTCAAGATAGACAATATTCAAGATAGACAATATTCAAGACAGACAATATTCAAGATAGACAATATTCAAGATAGACAATATTCAAGATAGACAATATTCAAGATAGACAATATTCAAGATAGACAATGTTCAAGATAGACAATATTCAAGATAGACAATATTCAAGATAGACAATATTCAAGACAGACAATGCTCAAGATAGACAATATTCAAGATAGACAATGTTCAAGACAGACAATGTTCAAGATAGACAATGTTCAAGACAGACAATGTTCAAGACAAACAAAGTTCAAGACAGACAATGTTCAAGACAAACAAAGTTCAAGACAGACAATGTTCAAGACAAACAAAGTTCAAGACAGACAATGTTGCAAACTCATTCATTATCATCATCATCATGTTTATATGACACATAGATCGTACATGTCTAGTCCCTTCAATCTTGTGCAGTCTTTTTGCAAGCGTAGATGGCATTCAACCAGCACTTGTGGCCTCTTGTATCAGTATTCGTCTAAGGGTTTTGTTGTTGACTTCCACGTTTTACCACTGCATGTATTTCGTTGCCACGCTTGTTCATTCTAAGCTTCTTCTGAGAAAGTTCGCAATCTAAATCCCATCTTTGTCTTATATTTGTTGATACCACAGATTCTCCAAATATTTATCTTGTCTAGAGGTGCATTGCCTTAAATGCTTTGTATGTGTTTGTGTGGCAATAGCAGTAGATGATGTTGAGTGATGATGATGATGATTAATGATAATGATGATGATGATGATACTGATGGTGATGATGATAATGATAATGGTGGTGATAGTGGCGGTGGTGATGATAAAGATGATAATAATAAAACTAACAGTGATGATGATGATAGTATTAATGATGATAATGATAATGATAATTATGGTAATAATGATAAGGTTAAGGATAAGAATGATTATAACAATTTTTGCTATATATTAATTATCTAATAGGGTTGTACTCAGAGTCAGCAAATGTCTCACCTGCAATGACGCAATCAGGTGTGTTGCAAATACCCTTGGCAGCCACAGCTGCTGCTGCAGCCGCCTCCTCTGCCAATGACACTGTCAAAACATGGAAACAGGCATGGTATTAGATGTGGTAGACCTAGTGTGTATTTTTTTTTCCGAGATCTACATGGTTACACTAGAGTCGCCTTAGCGTAGCGGGTAGACGCTCGTACCCGGATCAAAAGGTCGTGGGTTTCGCTCCCTGGCACAGCCGGAATTGTTTTCCAAAAATGACTTTGACTCCCATTTCGACCCAGCCTTGAGTGGGTACCGGGTGCAGTACCGGGAAGTAAAGGCGGCCGGTGTGATGCTGACCACATCACTCATCTTGTTCCGTTTGGTCTATAAAAATATAGGTCTAGCCCTATATGCCCTATACGCCTAAAGGCGTGGACAAGAGTGCTTTACTTTTTTTTTTAACGGTTACCCGCTAAGGAAACAGATATGAGATTTGGTATAATCGTGGTTTGACACCGAATAGACAAATAAAAAGACATGACATTCTTTAATATATACGTAGTTTGACGCTAGTAAAACATAGACAGAAATGAACAGATAAAAATAGATACAGGAGCGAATGTGGGATAGCAAAAAACGAAGTAAAGACAGAGTATGGGACAGAAAGGAAACAAAAACAAAATCAGAGACACAAGACACATGAAAATAAATAAGTGACCGAACTGAATCAAGGAAAGAAAACTCAATGCAGTTAAAGAAACATTTAAGAAAGGTAGGACGAAACATACAGACACAAGTAATAAAATAAAACGTTGGTCTTAACAACGAAAGGAAGGGAGAAAGAAAACAACGAAGAAAGGAGGAAATGATACACCGTATCCATTGTTGTGGTGCTCTTACCTTCATCATCGTACTTGCTGTAGTAGACAGCGAAGAGAACAACAAACACGACGGTTGTTACAAAGAACACAATTGCAAGGGCAGACCGACCCGCTGTGAAGACTGGACCTGAACGTAACCCTTTTCAGTAAACCTGAGAGAAATAATATACATCGATGTATGTATGTATGTGTGTGTGTGTGTGTGTGTGTGTATATATATATATGTGTGTGGTTTATGATATATATGAATATATATATATATATTAATGATATTGATAGGTATAATTTATATATTATATATATTATATATATATTATATATATATATATATATATATATATATATACTAGCTGTACCCGGCCCACGCGTTGCTGTGGCATAGTTTGGCTAAATGAAAATGAAAGAAAATAGAAAATCGCACGTGTCTAATACCAATCATTGTCTGCCTCAGATATAGAGATAGTCTTTGATCCCCGCCCCCCCCCCCCCCCCAACCCCCCCCCCCCACACAACTAAATCCCCTACTACTCTCTCCTATCAATCAAAGGTTTTGAAAAAGAAAAGACAATGGAAATCGCACGTGTCTAATATAGTTTATGTCGCAATCCTTTTCTGCACAGAAATTGAGATTATTCTGATTTCCAACTTTAGAACACGCACCTTATAATTGTGGTCTTTATATAGTTGGTCGTTTAAATGGTGTTATAAGACACAGTAGCAAAAATAGTTATTTGGTTATCACAATGTTAAAGAAAGCTGTTTGTAATTTTTATAGGGGACGGAAGTAATAGCTACAACTGTACTCGTTGGATAACAAAGTAAGTCGTAAAAAATAGAAGAGCGGACGGTAGCGTTAATAAAATATAAACAAATTAGGTAATGAGAACTATGAAAATCACGTGTAAAAGCTCTTTAAGTTCTCTTAAAATTTAAGTCATTACCACCTCCCCTCCCTCTCTTCCACCGACTAATGCTCTCCCCTCTCCGAAGGATTTGAAAATCATTACCTGGTTGGGTGATATTTTTGTTGTTGCTGTAACTGACATTGACATCCCTGTCCATCCGGACTAAAATGGGGAGCAATGAACTGTAATAGGTAGGAATGGGGCTAGTGTAATATTTACCACATCATCATTCAAGTACCAGTACAACTACTACACGACCACCACCACAGTAGCTAAAATAATGTCAACTGCTATCTGTGTTATCATCGGAGTAGACAGAGAGTCGTGAGCCAGAAGATTTGTTTTCCGCATGGCTAGTGCTGTCGCCACAGACTGGTCAGGGTTAGGATGTATAATGTCACTTGCCGACAGAAGAATGCCATAACCTTACCGGCGGTCTTCACATGAGAGCACTATGGTGTAACAGCCCAACCACAACTATTACTGCTGCCTGCTACTTTAGTGGGTTAAAACAGTTACTGGTGACTTAAAGCTCTCTCAGTTAATAGTCCCCCCCCCCCAACCCCCCCCCACCCCCCCCACCAAATTCACCGACAAACTCTTTCCCTCATGAAGTAGTTGGGGAGAAAAAAAACACTTGAAAAGCAAATGAACACAGGAAAAAAACACCCATAATTAGGAAATGAACGCTATGGTAAACAGCACAGACTAAAATTCCAACGCAGATGAAATAACTAAATCTAAATGAAAATAAATGGAAAGCTATGAAATTTCAGCGTAACCATGCAATCGAAAAGTTTAAAAATGCAATCATAAGTATGCGAAATGGTCAAATTTAATTATCAAATGGTTTACCCATTTACTTGTTTTTTTTTTTTTTTTTTTTTTTTTTTTTTAGTATTAAGGGCAACATTGCTAGTGCTGTTACCACGACAGAGCAGATGAGGATATTATTTTAGTCCGGGGTAAAAAAAAATTTAACTACTGCGGATTCGAACATTGCTATCCCGCACTGGAATCCAGAGTTCTAACCATTCGACCAAGCAGCCACTTAATCGGAGCACCGAAAAGAGAACTAAACTATTAGAGATGTGTGCCCCTACTACTGTGTCCCGATTATAACACAACTCAAAAACCGCAGGCAATTGTTTTCTCGTAGACAGAATACTCCAGACTATATTAATGAAACGGCACAACAATTAGAAATCGCACGTGTCTAACCACGGTTAATGAAGTTAAGTCGCAGTCAATGTCTGCGCCGACGTCGAGATAGTCCTTGATGCCCCCCCCCCCCCTCCAATCGAAGGTTGTTCGAAAAAAAAAAACAGAAAATAGAAATCGTTGTTTAATATGGTTGTTGTGGCAAATATTAGAGATTATTCTGTTGCTGTACCACGATACTCTATGTATTAGAGAAGGCGTTGGCTGCAGGTAACTCGCGGGCGAATGGTGGAGCCTTGCGTTCGACTACAAGACGCTATAGCTCAATTACTAACGTGGCATATAATTAGAAATCACAAAAATTATAAAATATTTAGTTTCGAATATTATGCCATAAAGTTGTCGCAAACTATCTCTAACAATGACAGGTTAAATTTCAAACCATGATGGTTCAACATCCGGTATCAAAACAAACATTCCTGAAAATTTCAGCTAAATCAGTTCAGTAGTTTACGAGTCTATAGGGAATAAAACACACAAACATTGATTTATATATATATATGCCATTCACTGTCTTTGTTATACCACTTTTGCCATGTAGACAGGGGGATCTGAGCCTGAGTATTTACGGACACATCGCTAGTGCTGTCGCCACGAATGTGCTGGTAAGGATTTGTTATGCGTCCGACAAAAAAAATCCACAGACTTACCTAGGATTCGAACCCGTGTCTCCCGATTGAGAGCTCACTGTTCTAACAGTTCGGCGTATATATATATATGGGTATAAACGGGTTTATAAGAGACCACAATAATTAAAGTAACAAATCAGTTCACTTATTTACGCGTTGACTATTGTCGTGACATCGACCTGGCTGCACGAGTTACGCAGAAAGGTAATACTGTGTATTTGTGTAGTATTGTCTATTCTATGTATGGTGCTGAAGAAGGCTCCATAGCCGCAACGTTCAAGTTTTGTTTGTGTTTGTTATATGGTGAAGCTCGCTGATATACTTTTTGTTCAGTTATATATCTTTCCTTGATACACTTATTTACGCAGAATGTTGACAGTCAGGAAGACAAAAAGAAAAAAATGTTGACAGTCAGGGAGACACAAAGTGAGAAATGTTGACAGTCAGGGAGATACAAAGTAAGAAATGTTGACAGTCAGGGAGACACAAAGAAAAAAATGTTGACAGTCAGGGAGACACAAAGTAAGAAATGTTGACAGTCAGGGAGATGCAAAGTAAGAAATGTTGACAGTCAGGGAGACACAAAGTAAGAAATGTTGACAGTCAGGGAGACACAAAGAAAGAAATGCTGACAGTCAGGGAGATACAAAGAAAGAAATGTTGACAGTCAGTGAGACACAAAGAAAGAAATGTTGACAGTCAGAGAGACACAAAGAAAAAAAATGTTGACAGTCAGGGAGATACAAAGTAAGAAATGTTGACAGTCAGGGAGAGACAAAGTAAGGAATGTTGACAGTCAGGGAGACACAAAGTAAGGAATGTTGACAGTCAGGGAGACACAAAGTAATAAATGTTGACAGTCAGGGAGACACAAAGTAAGAAATGTTGACACTCGTTGACAAGGTATCAGCGGATTTTAAAATGTAAAAGCCAATAAAAAGTAACAGTGCTCTTAATTGTATAGTTCTGAAAACCAAGTTATGTACTTTCAATTCCGATGTTATGTCAATTTTACTATATGGTAGTGAATGTTGGAGAAGCACTGAAGACATGGGATTAAAGTTAAATACATTTTTAAAAAAACAAATTCCTGAGGAAAATGGTCAACATAAAGTTGGATGTATTCAAGAGGAGAGAAGAAATACATGAAATTGTGCAACCACTCACTGGTAAGAAGAATCCTAAGACAAAAGATGGATATATTGGACACATCCTCAGAAGAAGTGAAGAAAAAAACAGCAGAGAATCATCATACAGGTACTGAAATGGGAAAAAGGCTATTGAGAAAGCGGTCTGAGGTTTGAAGAATGGATCAACATCATGGGACACGGGTAGTAACACATAAGTGCTCCGTTCTTTCTTCTAGCCGAAGAAGCTCAACACAGTTGACAGGCTCTGTAGCAGCGTCTGAGCTCCTGAAATACTTTGGGTAGATCTTTTAACTCCAAATGTTTGCCCGGCGGCTCCGTTAGGCTACTCTTTTCGATTTCCAACTACCGAAGGATTTTTTTAAACCAGGGTAACAATACACACGGGCGTCCGATCTCACTACCCAGAGACCATGTAAAATTACTAGAAGTCCACGTGAAAAATCGCAGCCTTCACCTGGGCTTGAACCCGGGACCTCCAGCACTCGACGCAGACGCCATGCCTCGAGACCACGCAGGCCCCCCCCCCCCCCCCCCCCGAGGGGTGTGTTATGTTTGCGTAATGAATTGCACATATGGATAGGTATCCTCTGAATTAACACATTTACGTTGGAAAAGATATGTTTATTCACTCACATTACAGCACAGTAAAGCACATACAGCATACACCGACCGACAAGTGAACATTCTCTACTATTGTGAACATACGTATAAGTAGGCGGGGTAATAAGTGTGCGGAGAACAGGTGAGCAGATGTTGCACTCTAAAGTGTCCATCTGTTTACTCACTTGCTTACACGCGAAACTGTTCTCCTAGCTTTCATACAGTGTTATGAGTCTTGCACCGTGAAAACAAAACGGTGGCTTGACTACATAGTACTCCCATAGTTATCAGGTGATTCACTGCAGCCAACTCTC